CGACGACGACTACTACCACTACTACCACGACTACCGTCAACTCTTGCTCCTAATACAACTACGACTCCCTCCTCCCGGGGTGACCCACAAAAGGGCAAAACCGAACCTCTATTTCGGAGCAGATTGTTTGGTCTGATACTGCCTTGCACCTGGCGATCCTTTCTCTTGGCAGGCCTTGCCTGATGGAACACAGCTGCCGATGACGGATGAAGCGCTCCGGGCCTTCTTCCGAACTCAGCGCCATGAGTCGCTCGACTGATTGCCGCGAATGTTTGGGCAGAGCTCGCTGATCATATGTATAACATCAAGGTTGAAGGGCCGATGGGAAGAACAAGCGGTCGGCTCGATCCCAAGGGCTCTGACAGTCACGACATTGATCATTGGGACTTCGGAGGCACGATAACCGCTGGTAGCTGCTTCCTGAGGAGACGAGGAGGTGCGAAAAGAGTATTGGCAAGAACTAAAGGAGACGTTGGCCCGCGAGGCGTGAACATCCCCCTTCTTTAGATCTGTCATGGTTTGCCGTGATCTGCCTTGGGAATGGGCTCTGGATCTGGAGCGCATCTCGCTTCCTGCTGAAGGAGTTGCAGGTGCGGCAGCAGAACGGCCGCCTTGCAGACCAGCAGCTGTCGCAAAGCTTGAAGCTATGGCAGGCACGGCAGACTTCGCGAATCAACTCTCGGCTGTTTCGGCTACCTTGCACTGCCTCTGCGCAGGACTGGCTTGACAATTCCGAAGGCACCATCGAGGAAGGCGAGGGCAGCGAGCTTTCTTCCGTGCTCCCTTCAGCTTCTCTGCCTCTCGGCCTCGCCAAGGCGAAAAGATCTCGGCAGATTTGGGCAAACTCTTGGATGCTTCACCGAAAGAACTTCGAAAAAAGGCACGAGCATGGGAGATTTCAGAGCGATCCAAGGAGCATTTGCCTACGACGACCGTGGCTCGAGCAGGGCGTGCAGCCATCGAGGTGGGAAATTGCTGTGACGCAGAGCTCAGCAGAGCAGGGCCTGAGCGGCTGCGTAGCGACACCTCGCGGCCTCGGCCTAGCGGCGAGGCTGCTGCCAGAAGAGTCGCCGGAGCTCGCACAGCAGTGGTCGCCACTGTGATAGGCTCAGTCAGAATGGCTGGTTGTTCCATCGGCATTCCGAACACGAAACAAAGCCTTTCAAGGTCGAGCAATCGGCAGAAGCTCAGCGACGAGCGCTTGCCTGGGGAGAGCAGGCAGCAAAACTTGAAGGCAATGTTCGCGCCGAGCTGGAGGCCACGAAGGCGCAACCCAGCGGCACAGCTGTGGTCTGCGGAGCGTTTTCTGTTTTCCCGCGCAGCAGGCGGCCATCAAGAAGGCTCGGAGGTGCCAGTCTCAGTAAGAGTGCTACCTTCCAAAATGCAGGCCGCAGATCGGTGGCGACAGGCGAGCCAAAGCAAGGAAGCGAAGACAGTGGAGTTGCAGGCCCTTGCATGTGGATGCGCTGCAGAGATGACGGAATCGCTCTTTGGGCATCGTGGCGGGTGGTGGACCCCGAATCTCGGTTTGCAGTTTGCAGAACTACATGCCCCGTTTCAGCGATGATGTGCGTCGCCGGGTTTTGGGGCAGTATTGGTGTCTTGAAAATCGAAGAAGAAGCCCGGAATGCCAACAAAAAGAACAACCCTGAACGGGGCCGGGCTTTCGTCGGTGACCAGGCGAAGGTTTTTGGAATTCTTGGACACCACACACCCATTCTCCAGGGGCTCACTGTTCCAACGATGCTCATGATGCGCGGGGTCTGCTCAGCACCCGGTGATGCGCCAGGGGAAGGCGGCCGAACACGAGGATGGCCAGCAGCAGCTGCAGTCAGCTCAAGCGGAGCTTGAAGAGGCACATTGCCACAGCTGCATAGACATCTGTGTCTGTGAATACATACCATATACACACCATACATGCATGCATATGCCTGACAAGTCCTTGCCCAGGCACGTGCTCGAGAGACGGAGCTGCAGGCCGCCAGCCAAGACCGGAAAGAGAACATGAGAGCGAGCCAAGCTACCTCGGCGCACAGGCACATGTGTCCCGGCCCGTGACAGGTTCTGAACAGAAGCGGCCAGGAGAAGGAGCAAAGCTTGCAGCAAGAGTTGGAGGCACCGACGGAGAGAGAAGAGCATCCCTGCGACGGAGAGCGAACTCGTCCGAGGCTGCTCGGGCCATGGCTTCGAAGGCCCCTTGACGAAGTAAGATTGCCGTGGGAACGATACGGAAGCCAGTGAGGCATCGGCCGAACGGCTCGCCAGCCAGCGATGCAACGAGGCAGCTGCCGAGGCCAGAAGTCGTCGTTTACGCCGCACTCGGCCGCACTCTCGACGCCATACTCAGGCTGCTGGCAGACAGAACCTGCAGCTTCAAGAGGACCGTCCATGAGTGTGTGTGTGTGTGTGTGGCTGGGTGTGTGTGGGGGTGGGGGTGGATGGGTGGGTGGGCACACTGTACACTTCACCGTACGCTTTGAATGCTTGAAGCAGTTTGGCAAGGCATATGCTGGGGACCACGGGGCCCCCAGGGGCGGTGGTCAACGAAGACCCTCGCGTGGAGCATGTGTAAACGTAGCTGCTGTCTCCACCCTCATTGCACCTAGGGCTCTAGGGCCGTCGCGCCAGCTGGTGGATGAGGAGATCATTTCGTTCATCTTTCATCTCATGAACGAACCGTGATTCTTTTCTGTCACACACCGGGGGCAGGACCCTCGCACAGCATTGTCATCTTGTTCCAGAGGCATGCCATTCCTGGTGTCTGGCATGCCTGTCCAACAAGACTTTCATCATTCATGTTCATTTGTCAATGTGTCGTCTGGTCCTGTCAGTCGCTCGTGGCAGTTAACCTTGCAAAAAGTCACAGCATGTGCGTGTTGGTTTTGGTATTAGTCATCGCTGCCTCAAAAGGAGCTTCGCGAAGCACAGGTGGAACTCCAGCGAGCAAAGGAGCAGCTTAGAGCAGAACGAGAGGAGATCTTCGGCTGCAGAGAGCAGAGGCTGTGTTATGTGCAAAGGCGTTCGGCCCAACACTCCTTTGAGGCTGAAGCGCGAGCGGGAGTCACACCGAGAGAAGCACCAGGAGAAGATCCAGGATCCTCAGATCACATCGTTTTGGAGCATTGGCTGGCGTGGTTGCAAGTTCAGTGGAACTGTCGAGCAGGACCTGCACATGCAGTTGCACGCAGAGAGAAAGGCTCTGACAGAAGCTCATGATTCCAACCATACAGAGCACCAGCAACTGCTGGCCTGCCGGCAACTCAAGGACTGAACGCGGCAGAGCATGTGTAGGCTTTGAGCCGTAGCTCGTATTCAAGCTGTGCTTTTCGCGACGAGGTGCGCGACAAGAGCTAGAAGAAGAGCGAAAACAGCACTCGGAGAGTAAGGAAGGCAAGGTGAAGTAGGGCAAATCGTTGATGGAAGATCTGCGACATGTGAGGAACTAGAGGCCAGCTTCTGGAACATGTCCGCCACATCGGTACCCTTGAAGGGAAGGTGGGGAAATCAAGTAGCGAAGTAGCAAGGATAGAAGCTGAAACTCGCAAGGTTGAGGCGCAAGCTGTGAGTAAATGCAGGTCGCTGGCTTGAATACGGAGGCTGACTTTCTCAAGGGGCGCATAGCCGAGCTTCAGGCCTGCCGTGCCCATTATCGTTTTCGAAAAATCGGATGAGACTGGCAATCACTGATGCAGGACACCTTGAAGGAGTCAGAGGCACACATGCTCAAGCAGTCCCAGGCAGAGATCGCTTGGGAAAGCATAGATCCATGTTGCATCATCGTGTTTCTCTTCTCATGTTTTCAGCTTTGCATTGTGGCACAGCGGCGCAGCAATTCGCTTGCGAAGACAGAATGGGGTCCTGGCTGGGCAGGGGATCTCCTCTTTGCGCAAAGACCTGGATAAGGCTGGACCCGTCGCCCTCAGAGGGCCAACGCTCTGAGAGTGTTTGCGCTTTGAGGCCAAGGCCGAGTCTGGACACGCTCGAGCTGAGGGCGAAGAGAGGCCCGTGACATCTCGTGACGTCCTGGTTCAGTCTGGTCAAAATCTGGCCGGGCGAGCACTAATGAAAGCGTGTGTAAACAAAGGTCCCTACTTGTAGCATGACGGCAGCCGCTCAGCCGCTTCGCACAGAACATGTTCCCTGAAGGCTACACCCCCAGCATGTTGCATCCAAGCGTGTGCCGTGCTGGCGCTGTCATCACAATCGGACTCCTCAGCATTCGTGGAAATGCAACCCAACAGCTTTGCCCTTCCAGCGACCTTGCTTGCTTCTCGAGGCAAGTTTCCGGACAGCTCGGAAAGAGCTGTAAGCGTCGGGTTGCAGTTGCATTGGTTGGCGCCGGCCACTTCGCCAAAAAGGCACACCTCCCGTCCTTGATCCTGGACAACAAAGACTGCTTTCATCTGCGGGCGGTGTGGAGCAAATCTGAATCATCGGCGAAAAACTTGTCAGGGCTGGCAGCCAGGCATGGTCATGTAATTCCTCCAGTGCCTCTGTGGGGAGATCGGGGCTGGAGTGAGATCCTCGCAGGCAAGCTAGAACTGGAATTGGTGGATGTCGTCCTACCAATTGCTGCGCAGCATTCTTTCGTCAAGTCGGCATTGGCGGCAGGCTTGGCAGTCGTGTCAGAAAAGCCTGTTGCCCCTGATGTCAGTCAAGCAGAGAGCCTTCTCGAGGCATCGAGAGCATCGAAAGCCTTTAGCAGCCTTAGCAGATGGTTTGTCTGCGAGAACTGGAGATTTGAGCCAGCTTTTCGCGTCGCCGAGCTGGCCATCAGTTCCGGAGCCATCGGAGAGATCCTCGCTTTCTCCGCTAGTTCCGTGACCTATATGCCTGACGACGTGCCTTACATGAATCTTCACTCCTGGCGAATGCAAGAAGGTTCCAACTGGCTTGCGGATGTAGCTGTGCACCTTGCCGCTGCTATGCATTTTCTGTTGGGTGACATAGATGTCGAGGGAGTTGTCACGCGACGCGTCAGGCCAGACATTCTGCCTTTCGATACCTTCGCAACATCCCTTCGAGCGGGGTCTCTGCAAGTGATACCGGGAGTCTGGCTCTTCTCCCTCAGTGCCCCAAGGTTTGCCCCAAGCGAGATCTCTGGACTGTCAGATTTGGATCTGTGGATTACTGGGACGAACGGAACACTCAGTGTCTCCAGAGCAAAGGTGGAACTCCGAGACACGTCCGGACGGCTGGTGCAGAGTGCTGCCGGACTTGCAGGTCCTAGCGTCGCCTATGCACTTCGTGAAGTGGCCGATTCTGTTCTTGACTTGCGTCCTTCTGAGAACACTTCACCGGAAGCTGCTCTTCGGGACCTGCGCCTGGTCGAGGCTCTGGTAAAACACACTCAACGAGGCCAGCGAGGCAGCGAGTCTCGGTGCCCATCGCAGGTCCAGTGCTCGGAGTCTTGAAATGAGACCTCTACATCGGTTGAGTCGCGCACATCCCGAACACCCTACGTGCAAGCCGGATCGCTCAAAAGGCTCGTGACACGGAGCTTCGAATCGCCTTCCAGTCTGCAGGACTACCAGGGCCTGGCCATTAAGGCAACGGGCACTTGCGAAGCTGAAGATCCTGATCTTCAGCCGGTGTTAGCAGAAGATCACGCCTCACAACACGACAGTTAATGAAGGTATTGGACATCGGTGGAGAAGTTTCTGCAGATGCTGCAGGACGTCAGGTATGCTTCGGAAAAAGAGCTCCTATCCATGTTCGGGGATGTGCATGAGCCCATCGTGGGGACGGGGCAGCCTGCGCAAGGGTGTACAAGCTGCGAAGAGACAGCACGCGGAAGCTGCAGGAGCGTTCCGGCCTCAGACGGGGGATTGTGGTGGCTGTTCGGCGAGATGTGCACTTCTCGCCCTGTCGGCAGCCGCAGCTAGGTCCAAAGCTGGCCTAAGACTGTCGAGTCGCACTACCGGTCAATGCCGTAGTTAAGAGTCAGCACGTATCTGCTCAAGACATTCCGAGATATAGCCATGACAAGGAAGCTATTCCCTTCGAAACCTCCACCAGCCGCCGCCGCCATGGCCGAATCCCGAGCCGATGGTCGTCTTCGCGTGGGTGGCACTCCTCCTCTTGCCAAGCACTGCGCAGGCCAGGACATTGGGTGTAACCTCACCTCGAATGCTCGTGCTAGAAAATCGCTGGTCAAGGGCTGTGCCAGACTTTCCAGGACATCCAGTGCGAGGTGCGCAGCTGTCTGCCGGAGGACGCGACTCAAGATCCTCCCATATGCTACAAGAGTTTCAGTCGCAGCCATGCGACTGTCATCAGATCCTACATCGGCACGCGTTGAGACTTTGCAGCCCAGGAAAACGGAAGTGACTCAGACGCTTGGAGCACAGTCCTTCGGTGAATGCCCGTCGAATACCCCTTACTGTTCGCTGCTCGTCTGCACACCGGCGCTTTTACCTTGCACAGCATGTCATTGTGCAAGGATAGAGATTGATAGAACCTTTCCTGAGGACTTGCTTTGCTACCCTTCCATGCTTGTGCCTCAAGCATGCGTGGACGAGTCCGCATTGTGTTGTGCAGCTCCCGGTCGTGAGGTGAGAGTCGCTGTCAAGCTGATCCCGTGCTGAAGCGGGCGCCAGGCCAGATGTCATTTTCTTCAGGGGCATGTTGGCCTTTTGCAACTAAGAAGCACTCCCAGAAACACAAGGTGCTGAATGCTACTATGATGAAGACTGTGAAGGCCCTTTTGCAAGGCGTGGTGTCCGGGCCGATGTAGTGGGGCGGATTCTGGATCCAGAGCTGTTGCAGCAAGGTGCTTGCAAAGGGTTTGCCGGCGAGCGCTGCTTACGCACCAAGTTTGCGATGCGGCCAACCCAAACGACCTTTGCGATCTTTGGCAGCGACAGAGGGCAGGGCAGACTTGTGAGACCATGTGAGAGGCGCGATTTTTGTGGCTGAGGTGACGGGCTCTCGGGTTTGCTTTCGCGGACGCTGCCTCGGCTTGAGCTCCGGGTCTCCTTGCAGTGCCTGGCACCGAGCTCAAGACCTCAAGACCGTGTGAGACTCCAGTAGACTTCCAGGCAAGGACTGACGGGCGAGACATTGACTGCAACATGGGCTGGTACTGCAATTCGGCTGCAGCCAGTCGCAGTCGAACCCAGAACTATCTATCTAGACCTCAATCTCGTGACGTGTCCAGGTTTCCTTGGGGTCTGCACACCGCAACTTCCCTCAGGCCACACAGGGCGAAGGGAATTCCAGGCCATGCTATGATTTGTGCTATGGAGGTCATTCCTGCTCTGGCCTGCACGGCAACGAATGCCTGAGCGGCTTTGGATGCAACCTTGCGCTGGAGACGCCACGGTGCATTCGGGACAGGGCCGATGAGTTCTAGGGTTGCCAGTGCGATCTGACTAGGCCTCGTCACATTCCGGTGCTGTCGCAGGAGTACAGCCTGGCGACGGGCTCCCGAAGCAGCTCCGGACATCTCTGCATGACGAATTACGTGGACCTCCGTAGACAGGAGATGCACTTCTTTTACTCAACTGGTGGGGTGCTCTTGGCTGGAGAAGGAGTGCGCTGAGCTTCCCGAGATTGAGCTAGAAGATGGAAAACCTCGCGTGAGCGGTCGGACTCCTAGCCTGCATCTTCCAGTGCCATGTATGCACGCGCGGGACTCGTTACAATTCCGAGAGCGCAAGGACGCGGTTGCCGAACAGACGCCGACTGTCCACGCTCTGCAGCTCGCTGAAGGGGCGATGGCGGTCGGTTGCGCCTCTTCCACCTGTGTCGCGCTCCTTCAGCCAAGGACACCTCTTTCGGTGCTTGTGTCTGCAAGCAGTGGTGGGAAGGTGCAAAGCTAAGCCCATCTTCAAGTCGGTTCCGTCCTGTCTGATTCCGCTTGACTCTGGATGTTTGGCTGCTGTGCGATGTTGCCCACCTTCCACCAGCTCGAAGGTTCTGATCCGCCCGGCTACTGCGAGCTTTCCGTGTCACAGCCGTGGCGGCCTGCTTTCAAGTCCCTCAACTAAGTCTGTTTTGGAAGGTCTGGGCACCCTGAAGATTTTCTCCTGTGAGGAGATTCTGGGAGGAATCTGCAGCTTATTGCCATCACAACTGGTCGGAAGACCGCTGTGCAGCCGAGTTGAAGATGGAAGAAGTCCAACGCTTGGCTGCGGAGCGGCTGACGCGTTGCATAGATTCGCTTTCTTCCGACATGAGTGAGGTCCTGGCGGAGGTCCGTGCAGACGCGGCAGCCATCTCTGCCGATCCTACTGAGGTGCAGCCATCGCATGACCATTTGAGTTGTCCAGAACTTTCCGAGCCTGCGTGTGAAACTCAGACAGGTGAAGAGCTGTGCACGGGAGTTGCTCGCTACCTGGGTGCCCACCGGACATGCTCGCGCTCAAGTTGCTCCAGGCAAACCCAGGGTAAGCAGAAGGACTTTACTCGCTTGTTCCGGGACAGGCGGTTATGCACTCACCAATTCCCCACACAGACACTCACTCCAACACACCAAACACGCAAAAACAAACAAACAAATACACAGAGACACACTCGTCGACACACACACACACACGCAGAAACAAACACAGACACGCAGAGACACACAGACACACAGACACACAGACACACAGAGANNCACACACACACACACACATACGCAGATACACGCACACACAGAGACACGCACAGCGACACCCAGACAGACACACACACACGCACACAGACACACCCACAGACGCACACAGAGACACGCACACACACGGAATCGTCCGGCTGTGGTCGTACTCGCTGAAAAAGAAACAGCTTCTCGATACAGGTGGTAAATGTATGGCCGTCGCTGCTCGCTTGTTGTGGCATGCCTTGGGTAAATCCTCCTTGCCCATGGCTGACAAAGACGAACGCTCCGAGGAATGCGAGCTGCTAAACAACGGCGAACAGGTATATTGACATAACTGACAATAAAACTGTACCAACGCATGGCCGATGGATATTTTATGCCTGCAGTTCCTGACAGGAAAGCTCATATCCCAAAGGTCCCTGCGGGACATCGGGTGAAGTTGACCAGCTTGTGAATCAAAGCCTGCTCAGTTACGTTTGCGTGGGGATTCATTGGCCGGCGAAGAAGTAGCAAGAGCTTGCTGTTCTTGTCTTTGCTGATTGCTGCGATCATGAAAACACCGTCTTCGCAACCACACTTGAGTGGCAGGAAACTAGGTTTTCCACCACTGATTTCGGTCTGTGGTCCGGTGAAATCTCCATGAAATCTGTGGAGATCGTGGTCTTTGTCTTGGAAGTTCGGGCATGATACTGGACTGATATGAGAGCAAAAAAGGCCACGAAAAGGTGAGACATTCATGCAATCCGAGCTTGGGAAACCATCAACAAAGAAGGACAAAGATCGGTTTCGAGTGTGGAAAGCTGCCACTGATTGCATATTGGAAACATTTCATGCCCGCCGAAGGCGAATGGAGGGTGGAGGAGCCACCGCCTCAATACGATAAAGATTGATAAAATATGTGTTCAGCAGTTATCTGTATCAATTGCTGTACGCTGTCCGTACGAGATCCAAACAAAGATAACCTTCATCAGGCACAAAGCGGTCAATGGCCACATGCATTGTGCATCGGACGATATTGCCTGGTAATGGAATGCCAGCATCATCTGCAGTTCTTCTCATGGCTGAGGATGGATGGGGATGAAAAAGGAAATAGCAGAGCGGCTTTGTTTTCAGGATTACGACAAACATCGAACAAGTACTTCATTAAATTTGCGTTTATTGGCTTTGCCAGTGTTTGAAAAACTTCTGACAACACTAAGCGTGAGCTTAGCTCTGCTTTTTCGTCGATAATTTGCACAACTGGGGCAACCGGTTTCTTTGCAACAATAGTGTTGTGATTTTGGCCACGAAGTTTGAAATTGTTTCATGGCTTTGGATAAATCTGTAGGTCTTTGATAGGACTCGGGAACTGTCCCGAAACTGAAACTGGGATCGACCCGTCAATGGCAAACGACGTGATTCAAAATTCGATCCTGTAATGTTGCTTCGTTTTGGACTTTCGGAATTCGAGGAACTAGAAGAACTAGGACTACTGGAGGAGTCATCCGTTGTAGATGAACATGTAGAGGTGGTAGAATGACGTCGATATCGGCGCTTATATAGGCCGACATTCTATCTTTTTACGATGCTTCGCCTTGAGTGTCCGACTGTGAGCGGCGAAATGCTTCGGAACAGGAGGTGCGCACACGCACTGACACGCACACACTCATACACGCTTTGTGGCGGTCAGAAGCTCTCAGCACGGAAGATGGACTGCTTCGTTCAGGTGTTGCCACCGCCATGGGCCGCTTGAAGACATGACCGGCTTGACGGATTGCAATGGATTGCACATGGAGTCTCTGGGAGTTGCGGGTTTAAGCTGAGGACTCTTCACGTTTTCCATCTGAGTCACTTGGAGACTGGGCTCCACAATCTCCTGAGCCGGCCTGAATTCGTGCCGCTTGACCGACCCGTGGTTGTGTACAGACCAGGCTTCGGGTCAAAATCTCTCTGCCTCGCAGTGTCTGCACATAGTACTGCAGCATGATGCAGCCTACATCGTGCTTGTGTCATGAGGCTTAGACAAGATCAACACCCCTTCGAAAGCCGGATGCTTTCCCCTCCGGCGTGGGCAAGGCTGGGCTTGTCACCCTGAAAAAGCAGACAACCTCCATGTGATCCACGCTTTCTCTTCGACTAGGTGCTCCTTTCAAACCTCGGCCGCCATCGCGTTGAAGGCAACAGCTTACATTCAAGTTAAGCTCCCCGTTGGCTGGAGCTGCTGTGACTGAGGTGTTTGTTGTCGCGAGCCACATCAAATTTGGCAACATGAGCCTGCCAGAAGCGTTTGTGCCACAACGGCGGCTGACCGATACTTCGAAGGAACGTCGTCCAGATCTGATTCAGAACGTGTTCATCCGCATCTGTTGGGCCATCTGTTAGGGGAAATCTTTGGTGTAGTGGGATTAATAAATGATAGTTTGCATAACGATGGAGAGAACTCGGAGGAGTGTTCTGGCGATATTGGGAGGTTTAAAGTCAAAGTATTTACATACAGTGCTCGGATGAAGCGATTCATCTGCGGAAGTTTGCTGTGTCGTTGTCCAGGCAGCACCCGCGCGAAATGCTGCTCACGGGCTCACGGTTCAAACAACCAAACCTCAAACAAGCCTTATATTCCACGGTGCGAGTTCCTGACTGCTTGTGCATGCAGCAGCTTGGTCAGCGGGCTAGGCTGCCCATAATTCGCCCTGAGCTTCTGCATCGCTCTGGTCATCCAAGCGTGATGGCCAATCAAATTCAGTCGCAGTGCTGTGTACAGTGGCGCTCGTGGCGAGAGTGCACAACATATGCTGTAGGCAAAATCGGTTCAGACCCTTTTTGCCTTGTTGAATTGCAGTTCAATTGACTCCACCTCCTTATCACAACTACTGTCAGCAGACACCTTTTCCCGCTGCCTTTTCCACCAGGTATGCAGCTGAAATGGCACACGAGACTGTAGATCCCCAGCGGGTCTGGCCCAATCTGTGTGTAGCTAGCTAGCCCAAGATGTCTGGGACAAAGCAGTGGATCTTGACCACCTGTAGCTGCAGTCGTACAAGTAGCATCTCACATCTACACAGGTTCTGGGGCAGCCTGGTACCGCTGAATTCGCTTAGCGTCGCTTTGGTTTCCACCGTCATCTGCGATGTTTGACTTTGACGGAAAGGCCTTGGTTGCTAGCCGGGCTCATCGCATCACGCGACGCCTAAACGTTTTTTTGTGTTGGTGCTGCTGCAGGTGAGCGGAAATAGCCGCGTAAATCTAGGTGGCAGAGGCACTGCACATGCACGAAGCATCGCGAAGGGCCTTCATGAGTTCGCAGGCGGGAGGAAAGGCGCTCGCCCCGCTGCCGAAGAAAGCCGTTCCGACTTTGTGAAGCGTCGGCTGCCTCGGATCTCGAAGAGTGAGATGATCTGAGCCATGCCTGTCGCTGCAGTGAAGGCCAGCATCAGGAGCGCGAAGCTCGGGAGCGCAGGAGGCCTCAAGGGTCGAGTCAGCTCAAAATCTGATTGACGCCTGGTTGCCTTCTCATGACAGCATCAAGCATGCTGATATCTGCTTCCACTGCGGCCATTTGTGCAAACTCTCGTGACACACCAATGGCCGTGTGTTCCAACGGGCTACTAATCGCATTGGACTTTCGAGACAGGATACGGGAAGCAGCTTCCAAAAAGATCCAGGTGCTGCTGTACGCGGTGGCGTGTAAGCGGAAGCGTAGTGAGTTGCGAGATACAGGCGTTGCTGCTTCGTCAGGCTGTTTACCGTGGTCATCGATGTCGAGAGCTCCAAGGAGCAGAAAAGCGTCAGGCCTTAAACTTGTCCTCATGGAAGATTCGTCTACCAGTCTGCGCAATACCGTCGAAACCAGGTTTTCGACAAACGATGTGCCGACATCAGTAAGGTGGGGAAACAGTTGGCAGGTTTTGGCTATGCCACTGTGAGAGCACGTGCCAAGGTCAGTGGCCTCATGCCACCACCGCAAAAGGCAAAGTTTGTCTTCCACGCGTCTGTGGCCAAGTGAGCTTACGGAGGAACGCGGGCACACTCGTGTTTGTTCCCACTTCAGGCTTGTGCCGCTGATGCGGCTCTTCGCCTTGTTCTTCAGGCACAGGGCGCCTGTTCCGAGTCGTGTTAAAGATAAGATTGCTTGAAGGTTCTGCCATGTGCCTGTCCACATGCCCTCACTGCAAGGAGAAAGCAAGACGAGGCCAGGCTGTCGCAGCTGCTGGAGCTGCTTCATTATTCCGGTCAAGCAGAGGGCTGTGCCTTGGCAGCATCTCAATTCAATGTTCTAAGCATGATCTAGAGTCCGTGCCTACAGTGTGCGGCTAAAGAAACACTAGGCCTGGTCGCATTCCAGCAAAACTGAGAGTGGTGTTTGGCAACCCGAGGCAACATTTTCCAAATCCTTGCGGTGGAGGAGTCTGCACCCAAAGATGTGACGCGGACCGGCCTGTTGGCTCTGGTAAGGCCCCTTGCCTGAAACGAGCGGATGTCAGCTCTCTGGAGAGATTTTAACTTCTGGAAGCAAGTCTGATCAAGCAGGTTTTCCCCACAGATCCGAAAAGACTTCTGTAGCCTTCGGAATTGCTCAGCCTGATTCTGCCTTCCGGACTCAACTCGCTCTCTGGTGCTTTGACCTTTACACTGTGATACGTACTGGCTCTGGTGCCTCCCAGCGCCCGACGCGTGGGATGCATGGGACTGTAAGTAATGTTGAAGGATGTCTTAGGGCCTCATATAGCAGATCTGGAAACTCTGCCAGCAGTCAACATGGCACGTGATGCGATGATTCGGTAAGCGCGCAACATCAGCCGGTCTGTCAGGAAGGTTTTGGCCGCACTTTTGGCCTGCCAAAGACTCATGGATGCAGCAAAGCTGCTCTTGACGATTCAAAAGGCACATCGCCGGCAAGTGCATTGCGAGCTTATACTGTGCTTCGTCCAGCTTCGTATGAGCTTCGCACAACTCACTCTGCTTCAGGCAATCTTTTCACCCGGCCCTGAATACAAGGCGCAGAGCCCTCAGTTACCCAGCGATGCACTCATGGCACCTGACCCGGTTCAGACGAACGATTTTGTTTTTCGTTACCAAGGCTCGGGATCAATTCAGGTGTAACAATTGCCGCGGGCACAGTGCAGCACAGCTTCTATGCACGAGCAATCGCCCTCCGTTCCGGAGCCTTCCCACAGAATGTAAGGCAAGTTTGCTGAGACCAGAAATTTTCCAGGCGCGTCAGGTTGGTGTTGACTGCTTGTCGGCCAGTCACTAAGACAGGTTACCTGCCAATGCCAGGTTTTGTCTCCGCTGTGTATGTCTGAGCCATTGCAGGCACTGGAGAGTGGAATCGCAGCCAAACATGTCTCCTAGTGGCTTCGTCAGGTTGCGAACATGGTCAATTTGATGCATCTTTATCTGCACATCATCTGGTGGAAGCAAAGTGCTGTGAGCGACACGTCCAGCGGCCTTACAGCAGCGCCCAGGTGCTCAGGCTTGGATGCGATCTCCCTGGCAACAGTCGAACAGTCGCTGCGTTGTCGCCAGGCTGACCCAAGCGCAGAGCACGCTTGGAATGTGCATGGCTAAGTTGTCTTGAGACATTGTGGGACACCTGCGAGGAATTGCTGGCGCTTCTTCTGTCCACTCCGCAGATTGGCGAGAGTCTCTGCGCGAGCGAGGTGCCATGCCCAGATGCACGTACAGAGTCGAGTCCGGCGCTTCTTTTGTTCAGGAGATGGCCAAGCCAAGCCTTGTGCTGTCGCTGCAACGCCCTGCACTTGTTCTGGTGCCATATCTTGCCAGCAATTCCAACAATGGTTACTGTACTAGCTCACCCAGATTGTGAGGTGTGTGCGGCTTGCTCGTCCACACTGCAGGGGTACTTGGAGCCGCAACACAGAGGCGCAGCATTAAAGCAGCTACTGGTAGCGGCCAGCAGGAACTGAGAGAATTTTCACGAAGCCTTCATAACAAGGTCAACACTGTGGTATAGTGGCTGGCCGCGTGGAAGTTGTAGGTCGGGCAGCCCCGCGCATGTGCTGGACAACATTGCCGTGATCCTGGAGACTGCTGTTTTCCGCCTCATGCATGATGCCACAAACCTCGCTAGTCGCTGCACGCTTGCTCTTGCACAACCATAGCTCGGATAATATTCGTCGGAAGGGATTGGGCGGGAGTGTTGACCAGGTTTCATGGTGACATTTCGTGTCGCCAGTCCGAAGTTACTTCTCTCCACCTGCAGCAAGCACGTTGTGTCAGGAGCGCTTTGCCCTCCAGCATGACAGCAGCTTCTCTACCGGCTCTGCAGAGTTGTTGGCCTTCCTTCAGTGGCTCTCCTGGTCAAAGGACCCCGCTCTAATCTAATATCCGACGAGAATCGGAACGACTGCTGACAGCTGCCATCGCTTCTTACCCCTGCTGAAGGCTTGTACTCGAACTCTAAGCCTTTAAGTGAAGCTATATGTCTTATTCTGTCGTAGTCAACCGTTGAATCTTAAAGCAACGGCGACCCTGCAGGATCCTGTCACGAAAGTTAGCTCTTTGTTGGGTCAACAAGCGACTCCGGGCCGTAACTGGTATGAAAACCAATTAGTTGACGGGCTGCAGGGGGCTGGGGGCCCCCTCCCTCTACTGTAAGATTGAATTTAGCAATCTTTGGGTCTGGCCCCAAAAACCGCCATGAAGGTTTGTAGGTTAATTAATTTAGTGGGGGTCCCCCTCGCCGGGACATTCTTCCCCTTACGGAGGTTTTCTCAGGCAGTGTGATATCTGGCAAGAACTCCAAAGAACACACTGTCTCCGCGATGTGTCCGAAATTTTCTGCTACCCTAGAGCTTATGGCGAGAGTGTTTATGTCTATGAGCGGATGCGGTCGTTCAGATCGGAAGCCTAGCCCTTTTCTTCACCATGTACATGCAGAAAATGACCAACTCGCGCTGCTCCCTTGCTGTTCCGACCTTGACCTAGCTTTCGTAGCCCAGATCTCAAGCCTTGGAGACACTTTCCACCGACAGCTGTCGCCCGGGTGATTCTTCACTTCACGCTGGAATTCGCCCCACTGTTCTGGAACTGATCTATGCGATTCCATCAGTTGCTGTCCGGACCTCCTTTCGGGCCTTCCTCGTTTCGATCACTCCACTGTTTCTTGCATCAGGGCTTACAAGCGAAACGGTGCCTCGCAGAATTGTCATAGCGGGAGGAGCAGGTGGGCATTGGAGCCGACGATGCCAAAGCAAGCGCCAGGGCAGCTATGACATTGAATCGCAGCAGCCTCAACGAGATACGTGGCAAGCTCTTCCTTGTGAAAGCTGCAGCCACAGGTGGTAGCTTTGCCCGCTTGCTGCTCTCATCTGTGGACCACGGAAGAGATGATATCCTTTTGGCCATATGCCGCCTGTACTTTGCTCCGCCAGTGCCCGAGCCAACAGCGCTGAGCTTGTGGAGTTTAGCAGGGGCCACATCATGCCCAGGTCAGATGGAACAGCAGAGGCTGAATGCGACCCGCCGCAGGAGGTCGCTGACACCAGGCACTGCTTGAGATTCCACTCCCCTGCGCTGACAGGTGCTACAAACGCTGGCCTTTGCCACGCCGCTGGCAGAACGACTGTTCCCAACATTCAGAGGGCTGATGAGGCAGCTGACCCTGCAGTTGGGCGTTCTTCTGAGCATTTCGTGCTGGCCCTGGCCCGCAGGAATCGGAGTGCTCAGGACGTGTTCGAAACTCTCGGTCCACCAATGCTGGCAGCACCAGAGGCAATCAGACTCAGGGTTTTCTGCTCGGTCAGAGGCTTGGACGGTCTTGAAAGCAGCACGAAGCATAGGGTCTGGGTCTTATCCCTTAGCGGACTCGCTCCCAGGTTTATGCTCTGCAGCTGCAACCGATGTACGACTACGAGTTCTTTGGAGCTGCCAACCCTCTGAGACTTGAGGAGGCTTGCGCCTAAGCAAGGTGTTTTGAAGCACTGTTGTCAGGAACCTCGCAGTTTCCACAGCTGGTTCCGAGCAGGGGCATGTTGAAACAGGTACGGGAGCTACTCCCTTTCCTCAACCGTCTCACGTATCACTTCGTGACCACGATGCCGGACCAGGTGTTCCACTTGCATCCCCTCCTTGCAAAAGCGTCCTGCGCACACTCAGGCGGCGTTGCTGCCTGCAGCTAGAGCACTCCGCACCAGTCTCACTTCTCTGGCTTGACGCTAAGCCTGCTTCAGGTCTTTAGCTTGGGTGCGTGCTGTAACCAGTGGGTAAGCGGCTCAGATCTGCCTGCTGTACCATCGGCATCGGCGGAAAGCGATCTTGGAGAATGACAGCGTCCATGCCCCAGCCTTCGTGCATGTTTCATGGCACTCAGTGTCGCTGGGGAGTCCATTTGATTAGATGCATGCTTCCGAAAGTAAGAACGGCCGCGACTGGCTGCAAAAGTTGGCATTCCGGCGGGCTCGCAAAGCATTGAATTCATGGCGGCCCTCTTTGCGGACTCCGCTGCCTATCCGAAGCTGTCAAAGGCACAGACTCAGACTGGGGCAGCCATGAAGGTGTGATGTTGTTGGGGCTGTGGGCTACATGGGCATACATGGGCCTGCTGGAGCCTGGAGGCGAAGCTTCGGCCAAACTCGAACGGCCGTTGTTGACCCTCCACATGCGCACATTGCCTCATTCGCTTTGACAAACGTGGTGCTTCTTTGGCCCGTCTGAAGACCAAAGCCACCCAAGCACGCCTTCTACAACTGACCACGTCCGACACTTCCAAGAGTGTTTTTGAGGCATGGATCATTCCAGAGTCCCGTGCGCTGCTGCAACCTCAGTGGAAGGCTGCAGCCAGCTGACTGGCGTGTTCTTGCTTATCAGGTTGCGGCGTGCTCCTTCCGCCATCAATTTGGGCGTAGATGTACCGGATGAAGCAATGGAGCCGGCCGATGATGAGGCTGGGGACGGGGAGCTTTCGACAGCTACGTTACATGGGACGAACGACTTGACAGGATGAGGCCATGGAGATTGATGATGAAGGGCCGCAGGCACACTGCGCATCGAAACGATTCCTTCTTTTGAGAAGGAATTTAAATCGAACCTTCCGTCGCCGCAAGAAAGGTATGCCACTGAGGGCTTTCCTTCGTGCAATCTCCGACGAACATTTCAACTATCACATTGGGATCTTAGGAACTTTCTTACCCTCAGATTCCCTCGCTAGCTATATGGCTCTAACATCAATTAGAGAAATGGGTTGGAGTTCCTGCAGGCACCGGAGCGAAGCAGCGTGCCCAGTGCTAGCGCAGACCTCGAAGAGAAGCTTCTGTCAAGTACTGCGCACGAGGGGCCGCCTGCAGAGGTGCGACATCCTCGCAGAACTTGGCTGAACGTGCATTGCAAGCGACACTGGCTGAGATTCCTCATGTCCTCCCTTTTGAGGAGCAAGAAACCGGCTGTAGTGTACCAAGCCAAAAATACGGCATGAGCTGCAGAGCTGTTTCGTCTTGGGAGGACAGAGTCTCTGTGCTGCACAGCGCCATCCTGGCCGATCAGGCATCCGCAAGCCGCAAGGCTAGAGACATCCAGACACGAATGTAGCGCTTTTGGTCAGGAAGAGAGGCGTGCCTACCGTGGTCCTTGGGGCCCATCTGCCGAGAACTGAATCGGACGACTGCAGAACCCAAAGGGTGTCGTATGTTTGATATGCTGCTACGCTGCCTGTGGACCCAGGCCATGGAGAAACATCAGATTCGTCGAAATTTCCTTGTCGAGGATGGTATAGCTGCCTTTGAAGGTGCGATGCTTTGCGTGACAATTCGGCAACCGAAGCTGCAGTCGCACATGCTGTGCACGCTGTAGGCCTGGATGATGAACAGGGCCTTCGCGACACGTTTCGAGTCGAGTTCATCGCGCCAGACGGCACTCCGGAAAGCGGAGTGGACGGTGGTGGACTGTTCAAGGCGACATGCCTCCATGGTTAAGTTAGCCCAGTCTGCCCATTCCAGGATCTCTCTTGTACCCTTTTGGGCTTGCCAACTTCTAGATGGGCCTTGTTCACCCAATTCGAGATTGCCAGGAGTTCATGGTGCACATCTGCCGTGAGATGTTTGATCCGGAGCGCTGGCCTGAGATGGAAAACACAACAAGAGCAGCAACAGTCTAGGAAGCTTTCATGGAAGACCCTGTTTGCCGAGCGACCTGTTGACTTGCAAGATCTTGCAAGGTTCGGCCTTTTCAGCGCGACGTCTGATCACACCCTCTACCCTGCCACTTCAGCCTTCGCGAAGTACCGGCAAGCTGCTGACTTGTACACATTTCTGGGCAAGGTCGTGGGAAAGGCGCCTGCCTGACAAATGCAGCTGTCATCGGGCGTGACCCACTGGCATGCACTGGCACTGGCACAGGCGATATACGAGATGTTCCTGCTGGAACCGCAGTTCAGCAGGGTTTTCGTAAATCGCTTACTCGGACGTGTGAACGAGGCAGATCGTAGTGGGTCGTGATTCCTTGCCTGGGAGCCCCAGCCAAAAGTGCATACCTTGCCAGGTGGACGATGTGGCTTCCTTGGACAAGGAATTGCACAAAAACATGTTGCAGATCAAGGCCAGAAGCAGCGGCCTTCCAAACGTATCTGATGTGTTTTCCCTGGCCGTGTTCGGCTGCAGGAATGCCCAGATGTCGAGGGGCTTGGCATTACGTTTAGCCGGCAGCCCAAGACAAACGCGCATAAATTCCGATCGACTTTGAGCCCTGGGCATTCCAGCATGAAATTGACTCGTAGCTGTCGAGGCATCTCTGTCACCGAGAAAGGTGTGCACAAGGCACGGCTTCTCGCATGTCAAAATTTCGGGGGTTCAGGATCCTGCCTTGTTACGAGTTCGATCAACAAGTTGGCTGAACTGACGCTGCTTCCAAGCAGACGGCGCTTCAGTAGGAACTTTGCACCGAGCGCCGGGGTGGAGAGCTGCTTGTGAAGTTGCGAAGCGCCCCGGGGGAGGGCGGGGGAGGGGGTTGAAACAGCCAAAGGAGCAGCTTGCATGCTGCATGTGAGTTCAGTCCAGTGCCGTCAGCCATGCCCCCACAGGTTCTGGATCAGAGCACGACCTGTTGGCACTGGCGTATACTGTAAGCGACACGTTCATGACATGAACTTAGTCCTACGGTCCTCAGAACACAAGTGGCACCCTAGAGGACATCGATCTCATTCCTGGTGGCAGTGATATTCCTGCCCCTGACCTCGGTTGCCTTACCTGGCACATGCTATACACTGGATGTCTGGATGGAGTCTGTGTGTCAGCTTAGGTCACGCGCGAGAATCTGACACGCTACTTGCACCTGATGGCGAACTTCAGGTGTGTGAGTCGATGTCAGTCATGAGTCATGCCACAGCTGCTTCCCGGCAGTATTGTCATGCATTGCCACTGGCTGGATATATCTTGCCAGGACGAACGTGCAGTTTCAGCGGCACACTACTGCCTTTCTGAGCGGGCTGCAGAAGGTGCACCCCAAGCAGAGGAATGCATCACAGTTTAAATTAAAGTCTCCGGACTTGTCGGTCCTTCCCACCCACGTGTCACTCGCTTGCCTACTTGAGCAGGTGCTCCCTGTGGCTTGGTTAAAGATGTTTGATCCTTATGTGCCTCCCTCAGAAGCTTTCGAAATCTTTCCTGTGCGCCACTTGTGTCCACTTAGGAGCTCAACACTCTGATCTCCGGTTCTACCGCCGGGTTTGACGTCAAGGATCTACGTGCAAACACCGTCCTCTCCGGGGGCTATCAGGTGCACCGACGGTACACAGAATGCTTTCGTATGTTTTTTTTTTGTCAGGGTTTTGGGGGTTAAGACATGGTAAAACAATGGATGGGGCACGCTAGGACGACAGCCCATGCATTGTCTGGCTCTGGAAGCTTTTGCCGCGGCCTTAGTGGACAGTCTCCAATGCACTTTGGTGGATGCAGTAGTAATGTCTTTCGAGGTCTCCACAGGACGTGGTGCAAGAAATTTGTTGGACTCTGCTGAGGCAAGAGGATTTGGAGCCGGAGGACATGAGCAAGTTCTTAATGTGGCGGCCCAAGGGCCGACACAAGCGGGTACCGTCCAACCTGTGGCGAGCGAGCCAACATGAATCAAGGTTCTGCACATCTTGCAGTCGCGCGCCGTTGTTGGGGAAGTCTGGCTGAATTCAAGCTCATGCTTCCCTGCATGGTGGAACGACAGCTGCCGAGAAACAGACTGGCTGAGGTTTCAGAACTTGAACCCGAAGTTCTGTGTGCACCGCGTGCCAGATTCAGAGCGACTTCCAACGAGTGCGACGCGACTCGGCTGCAGACTGACAGACAGAACTCGTCTCTGCAGAACAGAGGCTTCAGTTTAGGTGTGCCAACTTGCTGAAGCTGCCGGACTATGTCAGCTATGAGAGTCTGAAGTCGAAAGTCTTGCAAGCAATCCGCCGCGGCCTTGCGTTGCCTTCTGCACTCATGTGAAGAGAGTATGCGAGACATGTGTCCAGCAGAGACGTCTGGCTGGTGTTGGCAGGCGCAGAAGCTGGCTTTGATTTGAGCTAGGGTCCCAACATGGACATACACAGTTAGGGCGTAGTTTTCGGATGTTTTCGGCAAATCGCCGAAGATCTGCTGTTGTTGTTTGTAGGCTGGGAGTGTGCCTCACCTGGCGATTTCGACGAACAGTGCAACACAGCAGAAGAAAGCGCCAAAATCCGAGATCAGTCAGAATGGCAGTCATTAATTACGCCTCGTCACCCGTCCTTACTGAAAGAATCCACAATGAAATTCTATCGCCCGGCCAAACACATGTGTCGAACCAGTGGAGGCTTTCAATCGTGTCAGGCATCTTCTTAGTCTGCGAGGCTTCTGCGTATGCACTGCGTATGCAGGACATGAGGTTGAGTCGTCAAGGGCCGAGAACAGTAAGCATGATTTCCGCAGCTGTTTGTCCTGCTTGAGGGGCAGGCACCGTAGCATAACGAAGAATGCGCCTGGAGCGTTCCTGCGTCAGACTCCCGGCGATCTCTGGACCACTTATGGCCAACTGCAGAGTCCAGAGACCCTCAGGTAGTCGCTTTTCAGATTCTCCTCTTTGTGGAGGCCTGGGCCTCGCGTGTGAGACGATTCCATTGCAACATAACATAGTAATAGTGCCATCGCGCAAACAAAAACCACTCTCGTTGAATTGCTGGCTGCGAGGTGAATTGCAACAAGTTGAATGTGGTGCCTTGGCTGTGCCATTGATTGGGGACACTTGCTTGGTACGAACAGAAGACTGACGTGCTGCAGGCGAGCTTGAGTGCGGCGCTCGGCGGCAGAGGCCGCGTGCCAAGTTTTGTGCCGAGTTTCGGCAATGCGGTCACCTTGATTAACATGGCATGTGATGTTACCGAGGCGATAGTTCCGAAGATGGCGCCTGGACTTTCCAGGCCTTATAGCTGTACAGGCGCAAGCATCCGCAAGAAGAATGTTCGATTATACCGAGGCCGCTGCTCCCGCACCGGCGCCGTCTCCGAATTTCCAGACTTTCGACTCTGCTCTGGGTCCCCCTGGCGTGCGTGGTCCTGCAGGGCCGAAGGGCAGAAAGGGACGGACGGGACGGCGAGGCGCGCCTGGCCCGCCTGGAGGTCTAGGCATGCCTCCGTTGGGGTCTATGCCGATGCCTTTTGCGTATCCATATATGATGAACCCATTCATGAACCCGATGAATCCGATGGCCATGGGCCCATTCGCGGGAGCTCAGCCTGCGAGCCCGTTCGCGCAAGTCCCTCTGGCATCGCCTGCTCCAGCTCCAGTCGAGGCAAGCGGCATCAAGCGGCCAGCCATGACAAGTCTGTAGTAGCACTGCTTATTCGTCGGTTCCGTTGGCGCTTCTGATTTGACAGCGCGTTCTCTCACTGATAATTTCCAGGCCACGACAACGCAGCCAGCGGCCGCCCTGTCGCCCAAGGCTGCCGTGGAGTACTTTCCAGCGGTGCCCGCATCTTTGCCGAAGTTTTTGGACGATCGCCTGCATCATATGGGTTCTGATAGTCCGAGGCACCGGCGCCAGCTGCCGCGCAGGCTGGATTTGCCCACATGCAAGCAAGCCTTGTGACTTCCTTCTTACAGTTTTCCAACATCAGGCGGCAGCCTTCCATGAAGAGTCGACAGCAGCATCAGAAAATGAAGTGCCGGCGACAACGGCACCTGCTCAACAAGACATCCTGCCTGTACCCGTGCCAGCAACTGTTCCGGCGAGCTCGCCACACTCTGCTGCGTCGGTTGTCAGAACCCCGATGACTCTGGTGCCCATACCTGCTCCAGCACCTGCTGCAGCAAGTGCACCGCTCGCCGCTCCTGCCGCAGCACCTGTTGCAGCAAGCGCGCCATACTCTGCCGCTGCTGTCCCTGCAGGGATTGTGGCTCCTGCACCAGCTGCCATTACGCCAAGTGCTCCTAGCACACGTGCCAGAAGTGGCAGCGATGGTGAGCAAGCCGCACATTCCAGCGTGCCTTCAGCGTCACAGGATTCTGGAAACGAACACGAAGCCGCAAGTGTGCCGGATGTGCCAGGGCCCGCCAAGTCCACAGCGAACGTCAATGACAACACGGCTGCACGGCAGACCCGCGAACTGCCTGGAGAAAGTGGCAGCGCATCGTCAAGCGAGGCCGAGGCCAAGCAACCCGCCTCCGCCAAGAGGCCCAGAGCTGAGTGAGCTGAGTGCAAAGGCTGCGATGTTGCAGATCTGTTGCATGTCGGTGTGATGGAGCTTCCGCCGAGGTCTGCCAGTGCTGCAGAGGACCATTCTTGCTGCCGACTTTGGGGATTGCAGTCTTAATGGGATCTGCTGATCTGCTGCATTGCTAATCGGCGAAAGGTGGATTTCAATACTACTTGCATGGCATTCCCTGGATTTCCTTGGCTCAAGATTCTTCACATGAAGAGATGCTAGCTGGCCTTTTCAAATCATGGTTTGCCGTCCTGGTTGTGACACAAGCTCAGCTACCTGGAGTTACTGCCTGCCAGATGCAAGCAGCAAGTGAGCAGCAGTCTCGAAATGTCACATTATGCCCGCATGCTTGCTCAGCCGTCGACAAATCGAGGACATTCTCGGCGCACTTGACCAGCTCTCGAGCTTTTATTCTGCATTGCAGCAGGCCACGCTTGGGACCTCAGCCTAATTTACCGGAATAGGCAAAGAGCAGACCTTGCTCAGTGTTGGTTTGAGTCTACCGCTCCGGACATCTTGGTGACTGTGTGGGACCATTCCTACCACACTAGTGGGGAATGGATGCGCTGTCCGTGGAGACCACACCAACCCAGACATTCAAATCTCGGTCCTCTCGGCTTGCTCTCTACGGCCGCTTCGGGTAGCGTAACGCGGTGATGCTGGCGTAAGTTGCAGTAGTGTGTTTCGCTGAACCTAACACCCGTGCATGGCCAGTTTGGCCGCCCGGCATGACTGTGCAGCAGCGCAGGCCGACTTGGTGGGTGCTTTGGAAGGCCAGGGCTGCACGAGACTCAAAATCATTCAACTCTTGGCATTCTGCGTGAGATCCAGTTCCCGTCCCCTGAAGGAGCAGGCCCATTCACGGAGACTGCCTTTGCATTGGTCAGTTTTTTGGATATTGCAGTATGTTCGGTAGCCTCCAACCCATAGATTTGCCTAACCTATTATAAACCACAGACTGACAAATTCGAATCTTTGCTTGTGCTGCTGCGCAGGTGTTTGCTCCCAGCAATGATGCCATCGATTTGCTGGGTCCTGGAGTTTTCGAGACGTTGAGGTCTGGACGGAATTCCGAGTACTTGTTGTACCTGTTGCAGCATCCGTGCTCAAGTTGGCATTCGTTCCTTTTCGTGCATACGACTCATGCCTTGGATAAACTGCAACTTTGCCTTGTATGCGCGACGTCTATCGAGCCGATACTGACCCTGGACTATGGAAAGGCACGTTGCTGTAAGCAATGTCGTGAGGGTCGACTGCTCCAAGGTACCACGTGGTGTATGCCGACGTCCGAAGCAGGTTCGCCTGATCACCGCCTCGGCTGGGGTACCAACGAGAAAGCAGCGGCCATGTTGCGTAGAGATTAGCCTTTCAGCGAGGAGTTTGTTTTAGCCTTATAAATGCGACCAGGGGCATAAAGATCGACGTGTTGCTGTAATTGTGATGGCAGTGTGCGCCGCAGAAGTCGTCCTATGTCGTCCTCAAACACGATTTTCACGAAACAGACCAAAATAGCCGTAGCAGGATGAGTGCAAGAAGGCACCGACCCACGCAAGCCGAAGCGTTTATCACCCTGGGATACTGCCAGGGACATGACGCCTGGACAGACTCTGATGACTTGGAGCTCAGAAACTGTAACCATCACTGAAGTGGCGCCAGCGGTTCGCACCTAGGCCATTGTTGGTTTGTTTGAAGTTGTCACGATAATATGTCGGGTACTGCTACGGGTTTTTTTGAAGAGGGACGCTGTTTTGAGGTGAAGGTCTTCAGACCGCTGAGTGCTTGTTTCCTGAATGAGGCCTCAACGGTGGGGCTCAAGTGATTCAGGCAGACGTGGAGGCTTCGAACGGCATGGCGCCGGCCTCAGAATGGAAGGCATTGGAAGGCCTTCTAACTTCTCAGGTCGGACTGCAAAAAAGGATCGGGTGACGCTGTGCCTAGGTACATATTCTTGCACGTGTTGCGCGGCCCCCCAGCTACAACTTTCCACCGCCTTTGCAGAACATCAAGGAGCTGACGCAAACATCTTCGTACTTGGCCACCTTCTCGAGGGGTTTGCAGCTCAGCGGGCTCTCCGAACAGTTCTCTGACCCTCGAGCAGAATTCGAGTCTCTGATGCAAGTAGAAGTTGGCGGAGAGCATGCATCCGCTCTGCATGCCGAGACATGCTGAAAGCACATGCAGCGAATTTGCTCAGAGCGTTCTGGAAGACAGAATTGTTTGGTGCAACCAAGGCACTGACTGTCTTTCTGCCCACAGACACAGCATTCCAGAAACTGGGGCTGGGCATAGCTACCTCACTGATGCTGGATGCGAACCGCGAACACCTGCTCTCCTTGATCCGCAACCATGCAGTGCAAGGTGTAGTGGACAGTTCCTCGTTGTCACTTGGACAAACCTTGAAAACACTAGCTAACGGGGAAATCTCGATTACATCCCTGGTGCCAACAATGCTGATCAATGAGCTCGCCACTGTGATAAGTCGTGATGTCCCTGCAACGAATGGCATGATTCAACTCGTGGATACCGTTCTCTTGCCGAGCACATGGCTCTATCCGGACAAGACGATCTTGGAAATCGTTTCCAGAAGTCCAGATTTGACAATTCTGCATAGTGCCCTTGTGCGAGCAGATCTTGACTGGGTATTTGCAAGCAGCCTGGCGGCAAGTATAAGGACTTCGCGTTATGCTTCCGGGCTTCCGGAATCTTCCAGCTTGATCACGCAGTCGAGATGTAAGACGATCCCAGGTGCTTCTCCTCACACTTTGCTTGCTCCGACGGATACTGCTTTCCAGAATCTGGGCCCGGGCGTTGCAAGCAGCCTTCTGTAGCTCGCTGCACCTGATGATTGTGAATAGCCGGTGCCTTCTTCGGGTTTTATTTGTAGTTCCACATGGCAGAAAGCCTCTTGAATCATGGGCTGCAGGCTCTCATCCAACAAAGACGTTCTCGCCAGAGCCCTGGACATTTCGCTTGCTCGGTGGCCTGTTTGTTTGCGACAACGTCTCGTTAGGTCGATCTGCTGCAGGCACACGTTTTCAGTGATCACAGGCAAGGCATGATGAATACATCCATGCTGCAGGGTGCAAAGGTTTCCGCAGGCGGTTTGTTTTGTGTTTGTGCGTCCCTATGTGAAGGCGCAGCACGGTCTCTCGGACAAATTTGGCATAACTACGCTTCTGTTCAGCTCTGTGTAGGCAAGTGCAGGCCGTCTGCAGGACTTGGGTTAGGGTTCTTTTTTGAGGGTCTTTTCTCTAGTAGTAGACAGTAGAGAAGGCAACGCTCGGTTTCCTTGAGTTTCTGAGGTTAGCTGGACTCTAGTGGTGACAAACATACGAAAATGCGAGAAAGTTCGGCTTGGTTTTTCTCGCCCACAGGGTCAAGATACGCATGACTTCGAGAGGTTCATTGTAGGACTTGGAACAGCAAACTGCGCGTTCATTTCTTCGTAAACGTCTGGTGTCGGCAATCCACAGAGTCTCTGGATTCCTCTTCTGTGATCAACAAAATGTCCCCGAGCTTCACAGGCAAGGCCGCAATCTTGTAACCCAGGACGGGCGAAAGACACATGGGCTCTACTTGTACCAGTAAACTCAGCTACCTCAACTTAACACCTCTTGTATTCTGCCAGGCATGTCCAACCTTCACTACCGTCTTGTATTGAAACTTGCTTTTCCGAGCGTAAGAACAACGGTACATTAGTGGGCTTTTTGAAGCAACTGAACATCTCGTATCGCCAAACCCAGGACAGCCTAGCTTCCAAGACTGGAGCCATGCATCACTCGAAATCCAGGATAGCTAGTGCTAGGTACGATGGATTTTGCAGCTGAGGACATGGTGGCTAGAGCCAGTGTGGTGACAAAAGACGGCAAGACGGTCACCGTCGATTCGCTCAGTCCTTTAACTTTCAACGGAGCAAAGGCGTCGGACTTGTCCTTTCCAAGCTCCACACCGCACTATTTTCGAGTGAGCATTTCACCAGCCAGTAGTCGCCATTCATGCACATGCCTAAAGCCTGCTGCAAGTTGCAGCTTACTCTTTGTGACGATCTAGACCAGCCAAATGACAGGCCCACGTGCAGGACGTCCCTGCGACGAACGGACTTCTCCATGTTTTGGGAGGAGTTGTGCTGCCGAATGCTTGGCGTTTTCCACAGAGAAGCTTCATGCAGTTCGCGAACAAGGAAGCAGATCTTCAAGAGTTTACCCGAGCAGCGACTGCAGCGGGAGTGTTGGAAGAATTCCAGGCCGACGGCCCATTCACCGCTTTTCTGCCTAACAACTATGCCTTCTCGGCACTCGGGAGCTCCTTGGCCACGCTGCTGCAACCGGAGAACGTCGAGATGCTCCGAGGAGTGCTAAGATACCATGTAGTCACCGGGGTCCAAGCTCTTCTGAGCAGCGAGCTCACAACCCCCCGAGAGCTTGACACACTGCTGCCCGGGACGACGGTCCGAGCCGTGCCGTGGACTGAACTCGGTTGGGCGGGCATCGCCTACGACAGCGCATCGCCGCCCGTTGTCATCAACAGCGAGGCACAGGTGCTGATTAAGGACGTGCTGGCAACAAATGGGGTGATACACGTCATTGATAAGGTGAGGCTTGGATACAATTCGGCAAAGTGCCTTTGATTCGACGGCAATGTACCCTCCAAAACGGAAGCCTGTCCTGGTGCAACTTTGGTGTACTTTGTTTTAAACCTCAGGTTAATTCCTCCGGGTCTCGACCTCACGACGCCTTCGCCTTTCACAACGTTCCAAATTATTGCAAGCAGTCTGGCCCCAGGCCCAGTGCGGAGCCTTTGGATTTTGGTAAGCGTCGTATACATGAGCAGCCACGCATAGCTGCTCTTTGTACTGACATGTACTGACATGCACACTTGCTGAAAGAATCAGACAGAGTTATGTGTTGATTCACGTGGCATGCTCGAGCTCCCTGGTAAAAAGCACTGGCTGAGCTCATGACAATTCGACAGCACAACATTAAATGCACGCCTGAAGGCATGCAGCAGGTTTTTCGACAGTTGCCTGTGCTGACGGAAAGCGCATGAAACGCCGGCGGAAAGCACTACGACGCGACGATGATGCCTTTGTACAAAGTAGAAAGTGCATCATCTTTGCGTTCCAAGTCGCAGCGGTAGAGCCCCGAAGGGGCTGGAATTCAGGTGCGCCAAGCTTAAAGCCAAAAAGGTTGGTTTGCAGAAGTGGAGGCTTGAACGGACTGTAGAGCGCGATGCGCTGGGGCCGGTCCCAGTTGGCAGCCGCATTGTCAGGAGGTGGCCACAATCGTGGATTACCTGCCATTCGTCCCTTGGGGTCACGTCCTGTGCATGCTGCACTCTTTGCTATGCTTGGCTATCTCCGGCTTGTGCTACCCTCGCCTTATCAGGTCTTATCGATGATGTTGCGGGGACGAACTTCACTGAAGAGTGAAGATTTGGCTCTCTGTGCAAAAGGTATCACCGGCCCTGAGTAGTTGACGATCGTTGACCCAGTATCGCTGCAGACCTTGCCAGGCTTGTCCGAGTGTGAGTGTCAAAAAATCGGCCCTCAGCAAGTTTAGCTCTCTGAGCGCTCTTCCTTCGCTTCTAGACGAGTCTAGAGCACATGAAAGCAAGACTGCAGGTCTTGGCTCAGATTCATGCTGGGCCGGGGGCAGTAGTCCGGGTGTTCGACCCGCAACGAAGTGGCGGGACCTCTGCTGAAGAGCTGTGACTTAGACCGGTCATTGGCTCACGGAAGGCCGGGCGGCGATGTTTGCAGCCCTGCCCCTGGCCCTGGCCGTGGTGGTCGGGGCCAGGCAGGCTCCCTCAACTCCCTCAGTGCCTTGGATGTGGGATGAGTCTAGGAACCCAAAAACATCCAATGACATCTACTTTCCGAGGTGAAGGTCCACCTGCTCTCTACGGAAACAACTGCAGGGCTGCTCCGTGGAAGCCCGCTGCCCAAAGCGTCGATCGAATTCTTCTCTTTGCAGAGGCAGTGATACATCAAGGTGCTGAGACTGTCCGAGCTCTTAGAGCTGCAAAAGATGAGTCGTTAGCTCGTCGTGCTTGTTGAGATCCGCAACATGATGTCGTGTCGTCGTGACGCCGCCGCTCAGGGCGAGGCTTCATCACAACAGCGTCGCTCTTTCCAGGCTAAAGGACGAACGCCGGATGCAGGCCAGCTGGGTTTGTCGGGCGGGGTGCGAGCCAAGTCCCAGCCTGGCGAGGTGCACAGTGACAGCGACATGGCTCCGGCACCCGCGCCTGCACCCATGCTGGCCAGCTCACCAGCTTTATTCGGACCGACTGGCCCCAAGGGACCAAAAGGCCCACGAGGCCCAAAAGGCCCTACGGGGGAAGCGGGCGATCGTGGCGACATCGGGCCACCCGGGCCACCTGGACCCACACTTGTGATTGGCTACAGCGCCTATACGAATCCGTACATGCTGCCCATGATGAACCCTTTCATGGGAAGCATGCCTATGCCACCGATGCCTCCGTCAGCTCCACTGACTGCAGCTGGTGTGAGTGCGCTTCCGGCAAGCTTGGGAAGCTCCGTTCCCGCCAACGTGGCAATGCCCAACATGTCAGCTGTTATGGAAGCGCAGATGCTTGGATGGCAAGGTTTTGTTAGTCGGACATGCCCAATCAGGTCCAGCATGAAGGTGATTCCACCTGTCCCTGAGGAAATCGGTGGCGAGCACATACGCTAGTGCGGCCAGTCCGGCGAATCCACCTGCCACGCCTGTCCTACCTGCGGCCTCTGCTGTCGCCGGCTTAGCAGCCGAGAAGCACCATGCTCAAGAAGCACGGCATCCAAACGCAGCGGCAGGCAGGGAGAGAGAGACAGAAAGAAAGACAGCAAGAGCGAAACATTGTTAGAGGGTTCGGAGAAGATGCCTGAATTGGTTGGTGGACATGATTAGAGTACAGGGTCTGGCAGTGAGACACCAGCCAGCGCAGCGAAACGCAGTGAGGCACGACTCGAAAGTTGGAGGCATGTGGCATCCCTGGAGGCCCAAGGCCCTTGGTTGACTGTCTGATTGGATTACTCGGCCGCCTGCTGCCTTTACTTCGCTCTTGTTCCTTCCGTCCGTTCGCGGAGGAAGAGTCCGACCAGACCCGCGCCTTAGGCGCCCCCTCCCCGATTGCGCTCTTTTAGGTGCCCGTTCTGAACACAGATGGAAACGGGCTCTCGCGCGCAGGTCTGAGTGAAATGGGAAGTAAGCTATTAAGCATTTCAGGGAGAGCGAGAGCGAGAGAGAGCGAGAGGTACCCGTTTTGGCTAAAGTGCTGCATCTTGTGTCGTGCGGAGAGTCGTGTTCCCTGCTGGTAGAGCTCCTCCTGGTTCACCTCTCCTTGGGAGAGGTTCAGCGGCACTTGATCCGAGCCCAAAATCGGGCAGCACTCGGCCCCCGACCGAGCGCATGCGCCCTGTGAAGCCTCGCTCAGGCGAGCTGCAGCTTGCAAGCCTTGCTTTAGCAGTGGGGGTGGCCGGGAATGCCGCCGACCCTGCATCATCGAATCATATCGGATCCTCGCTTTTCCACCGGGTCGTGCGGGACCTTGTTTGGAGACTGACCTGGCAACGCATGCGCCATTCCCCATGGTATGGCGGGTTTGGGGGCACCCCGTGCGCGACCCCAGGAGGGCACCCGGCGAGCATCGTGAGCTCCCGGCGTGCCCGCAGCGGCCCAGGCAGCGCGAGGCGATGTTTCGCCAATTTTTGAGTGGGTTGCGGAACCCTTCACAGGGACGTGCATCATCAGCATGAGGCTGAGGGGTGGTGCCCTGCCCTGCCCGCCAGCCCCTAGAATAGACGCCCAATGCCTCGCAGCACCTAGAAGGCCCCCAACTTGCGGTGAGGGAACCCCTTCTACAGACAGGGTGTTTTTGGATTCTAAGAGATGGGCAGAATGCGAAAGAAGATACATGCTGGCTTGTGCTTCTGATGCACCTATCTCCTTTGATTCATTGATGCAAAGCGAGGTTGGGCTGGCTGGTGCGCAGCATAGGCTTTTTCCCAGAGACCGGTTTGAGACCAGAGAAGAGCATAGACCTCCAACAGGCGGTACATTGCATCATTGCTGCATTCTGAGCTGCGTGCGTCTCTCCACATTCTGGAGCTCGTCATGTCCTGTGGGTGGTGATATTGCTGAAATCCCCATGAACGAGGGGATTTACTGTAGTTGCGGTTACATTCATTTTAATGTAGAGTTGCAGGCCACGAGATCGAGATGTTTCGGAGACATTGGAGATCTCGGATGTAGGAGGCTTGAGCGTGTTGTGTGTCGGCTGGGCAGGCAGAAATAAACCTCTGCAGGCAGAAGAGCCTCGGCTTGCAACAACGGAAGGCGCGAACAGACCCGCAAAGTGTCTGTCAGTTTTCCGCAAACTGAGGCTTCCTCTCCTTCAGACCACACTCATTCCAGCATCCACTTTCTGGAAACGATGCGGAGATCCGTGGACAAGGTGCTTGCGAAAGAGACACCACGACCAGCTCTGTACGCAAGGGCCAACAGTTTCTCGCATGATTGTTGTGTGCTCGTATCTGCCTGCTGACGCATGGAAGGCCAAGGAGATTGGTTCCTACGTTCCGTTTGCGCCGTGGCAGAAAACATTCATGCAGGGGTTGTGTTCCAACTCCGCACAAGCGCAGCTCACGATTCAAATTCGCTTGGTCAGGTTCCCTGGACTCTTCTGGATTCGGCCGTGAATCGCAGTGACATGCAGTGAGAGACTTTAGTTTGGACAAGTGCAAAAGCCAATACATCCAGAGCTCGAGGATGACTTCGGTTGCTCAAAATGGTCATCTCAATCTCCATCATGCGGACCACATCAGACCTCGGGGTTGGCCTGTTCACTCCTGACACAAGGTGCTGTAAAGTTCGTGTAGGTGCCAGGTCACAGCCGGCGGGGGCCACGAAGGCCGCGAGCTGGTGCTCCCCACTTGCCCTCAGTGCGCTGATTCATGCACCAAGCGAGGCTCTCGCTCGCACGCCTAAGGACGCGAGGAGGCGGGAAAGCTCGTTTACAGCAAACGAAGTCAGACCTATCACACAAAGGCCATGGGATCCTGGTGGATCGGTAGGTAGAAGCATGTGCCGGGAAGGGCAGGCCCCCTCATGCAAGTCTCGTGCAACACTTCACTTCATACATGGGTGGTTGTCAAAATTATGGTCCCTTTTTGGGTCCTTCTTATAATACGGCACCTAATATTTAGGGTACCCAAAAAGGGACCCTAATTTTGACAGCTACCCACATGTTACATGCTGTCTTTGCTTCAGCGCAGCATGTCCAAGCCTTTTAGAAAGTGATCCGTTCATCGCACGTCACGGGCTGAGCCAAAGTGAGTCGGAGTGACGCGAAGCTCAGCTCAGCGAAGCACGAATGCCGAGGGCCGGGCCGAGCTCGCCCGTGGCCGGAGCCGGCACATGGCTGAGTGCTTCTGAGCTCGGCCCTTTACGTTCCTCTGGCGTCTTGTCTCCAAGGCGCCATGGTGAATATGCAGATGTTCCTGAGCTCTCCCGACTTGGCCACGCCGCATGGTGGGAGTCTAAAGTCTAAAGTGGCGCGAGTGCTTCCTGGACTCCTGATAAGATGGACAGACCTTGCCCTGTGACCAGGTGGGCCTCCCTTCCAAGGCTGGCGAAAAGGCACTGTGCTGTGTTCGTAATGTGGGGCCTGCGGCCCGACGGGCGTCAAGGGAAGGCTTCGGGATACACTGCGAGGATTTGGCTTCGGGCACAGCCGAGGTCCAGGTGGGTACGTGCCGCTCTTGGTCAAATCTAGAATAAACCAGAGCATGCAGGCAGCATTCCGCAACTCGCTGTGCCCAGATGCATGATCCCTCCATGGTTCTCAAGTTGAAGTGCAGTCCGAAGTATGACCGCACCCTTGCAAGCAGTCACTTGGTTGCGAGAAGAGACATGCCTGCACCTACCGTACTTTGCGTAGTCACTTGGACGGGCGGAAGGTGCTTTCTGGAGAAAGAAGTGGGAGTTGGGCCAGGCCAATAGTTTCGGCATCGGTGACCGTGCCATCCCCAGTTCATGCTTAGCCAAGCAAGGCTACCTTATACTGCGAAGTACATGTGATGCTTAGAAGCGCGAAGCCCATGCTTTGGACGCAGGTCCGAGCTACAGCAGACCGGAGGATGCGGACGTGGGTCCAAACACCTATGGCGACTTTTCGAAGCAGGTTGACAAGGCCGGCTTCGAACATCCATAGCTTTCCAACAAGATTCGGGGAATGAGGTGAAGCGAAACGCCATCCGACCCGGCATCAAGCTCAAGGAGAGGTATCCGACCTTTGAGGAGACAAAGCCGGGATACTGACTTCCCTTCCAAGCGAGAGAAATTGGAGAACCAGGAGAAGAAACGGGACTCCCGGTCCGGCGTCAGCGGGCCAGGGCCTGCCAAGTACAACACGAGCCTGCCCGCAGGCCGGACAGGGCTGGTTGCATTGCTCCCGACACCCCTACAACAGTGGGCCACGGTTTCCCTCAGCCCTTTCGCAGAGAGAGAAAGCAAGAGTGCGAGGCAAGTCCTCCTGGGTCTACCCCGCGAGGACATGGCACTTACTGTGTGCATTTGTATTTTTCTGGGGCTCAACAAGTCAACAACCCACGCGAGGAATCCTACGTGGTCACTGGGTGCACGGACCATCCTGGCTCAGGACAAGGAGTGCGGACCTTGTTACGCGCTTCTCAAGCCACAGCGTCTCGTGGATTTGAGTGCAGATGGCATCTTAGCAGCCTTAGCCTTGAGGCCGTAGGGTGTCCAGTCGATGCTAAGGACCATGGGCAAGCCTGGTCCCGATGCATACAGTTGCATAACGCGGCCAGGAACAAACTCGCCTGTTCTGCGCTTTGGCCGAGACTTGTGTTTCAATTGGTCTGCTTGCCACCAGCGAGTGACCGCGCATCCAAGCGTAATCTAAGGCGTGGCACTTTGTATGACATAACTCTAAAGACCAGGACGAAGGCCTGCGACAATACTGCTCGGAGTGCTGTGTGACTTGCTGTCCTAAGACCTTCCGCAACAAGTCAAAAAATGCACAGTTTGCGGTGTTGAGAGGTTCACCAGCTGGGCGAAGCAAGCCCGGGACCAGCACGCTACAACGTGCAGGGCGAGCTGGCAAAGTGGCTCAGCCCTAATGCATGCGCAAATCTTGAACGGTCAAGCAAGTCGAGCGACTGAACCGGCAACAGTGGCTGAGTGTGTCTCTGCGGTCTGTTTGCCAATCCGCTGACCTCACGGTGGCAGATGTTCTCCTTCGTTTAGTCCTGAGTCATGTATGAAGGTATGGTCTCGACCAGAAAATTGCCAACGTCAAGGTGCGCCCCGAGATGTCTCAATCGGACCGAATGTGAGGCGGCAGGTGGTACTTGTGGTGCGTGGTAAGGTCCCGCGGAAAGCTCCACCCTCTCCTGGGATGAGCAGTGGTCTCGGAGGTTATGCCCGGTTCGGTATTGAACGGCAGTCCCAGGCTCGTGGCAGAGGTGTCAATGAGTGGTGAAAGCTTTCCAAACTTTCCGGACTGCCTCTCATAATTTAGGTATCATTCTGGAAGATGAGGATCTCGGTGCGGGGCTGGGTTTCCGGTTCGGCATCTTTGCAACAGAGCGGGATCGCAGACGCCCTTTGCATATCTTGCGCCCGACCAAGGTCTTGACGCAGACAGGCTCGACTCGACTACGGCTTCTTTACCCGAGTATTTCTCTAGTAAGCCTACTCGGATCTCTACCTCCCCCAAATACAGCCTCAGGGTGCAGATCTCTATAGGGGCCTGACCGACCATGCAGCTTGCAGGCTGCCGCGAGTTGAAAGCTCGCATCTCTGACGGCCTTAGTAGCAGGGTGATTGCTATAAGCAATTCGGCTATGCAGGGGATCCCTAAAGGGACGACTGCTGACTGCTTTGCGGTTTAGCGATTGCCCTTTCTGGCGGCAGGGCAGGCGGCAGGCCTACTCTGTCATTATAAGCGCAATCAAGTCCGATGCCATTGCTCCGCGCAGAGTTTTATTTTCTTGGGCGTCTTTGCCGAATGCTCGACCGCTTCAGTTGTTTCACTATTTGCTGATAGAACTCGGCGAGTGTGCATGACAGAAGCCTCAGGCGACTTGTGGCTAAGGCGCCCTCACTAAAGGCCTAGCGCCTAGGCCTAGATCTCCCTGTTGCAGGTGGCCAAAGCCTCGACATGGCATTCGCCTTACAGTGAGAGTTTCTGTGTCGCCAGCGCAGAGGCATCGACATGCAGGAGGTGCCGTCAACAGGGACGATACAGAGAGACCTGTTCCTCGCTATCGGCTCCAGGATTTAAGTTCCCGCTTCGGGCAGAGGATCGTGAACATGAAGCACGGATAACAGCATTTACGGAAGTCGTATCCCGCAAGTTGCCACAGTGATTCTTGTCAGTTCGGTGCATTAGACAGTCCGGATTTGCCTGACTGCTTTGCACGCCATGGGAGCTTGCGTGGCAAGTGTACTTCAGCAGCAGGTACAGACTCTGATAGGGCCGGTTCGGCAAGCGTCCCCCTGTTGCATTTCTGTCAGTATCAGTGGTACTTAGGACTAAGGCTTCACCGTTTCCAGTTGTGTCTCCGGCAGCTCTTGCCAGTGATACGCGGACACACTGTCTCAGTGTTCGTTGTGCCTATTGCTCAAGTCTTGAGAAAACGGAACCCACCTTGGTTGCAAGCCCAGGTGCTGCCCTGCAAGAGCAGCTCTTTGATGGGAGAGGTTGAAACTGTACAGTCGGAGAAGATGGCAGGCAGGATGTGTCCTTGCACAATCAAAGAGGAAAACGAGTGGCAATGCTTTCACAGTCGCCGCGACCTCCCACCCCATTACGTTGGCCCAGTTCGGGTTGAGGATGGAAACCAGGAGTTGAGTGTGAGTCAGCTTGATGAGCTACTGATGTTCAGCAGGTGCTTGAAGCCCATAGTTGATTCGGGCAGGGCAGATCGAGTCTAAGTGGATTAGGGTCGCCATGCTGTACTAAAGATCGAATGCAGGTCGCGTTCCTGGCGTCACGGTATCTTTGGAGGCCCCGAGAAATCAACAGTTGTTGTGTTCCCAGTTCAGCCGACGCGTTCTTCGGAGGCTGTCAAAATGGACATTGCGGAGGAAGCTGGCAGTCCCAGTCCTCTTCTAGAGGCGATGGCGACCTCTTGTCACTTGAGTTCGACCTTACCAGCTGCTGTTTTCGTTCATTGTCCGTTGAGGCAGTGATGGCCGGTCGTAGTTTGGATATGGAACGAGCCCAGGCCTGAAGAGTGCTGGGGGTCCTCATTCGGCTGAGTCAGAATGCCTCAGACCCAACATTCTGGCGGCAAATTTGCAGGCAATTGCCAGAGACATTGCGAAGCCGGACTACACCATTGGCAAGTACTTTCAGGCAGGACGCGTAGGCAGGTAGGACGAAGTAGGGGTGAGTGTATGCAACAGTTGCTGCCGACCGGTTGCTTCATGGTGCTGAGGACCTGATGGCCACTTTTCCAGAGCTGCATTTGTTTGGCCTTGAGGGGCTGCTTGCTTGCAGCCACTATTAAATCATTAGTTTTCACCGGTCATCGGTGAATCAGAGCCATGAAGACAAGCCAAGTGCAAGAGCCTACGTGTCGCGGACTTCCCGTGAATGCTAGGATGTCTGTTGACACGCTGGAGTTCAAACGAGATGTGCTTCTGGCAGCACAAAATTCCGATGGCATCCAGTGGGCAACGGGCACCCGCGGGCATTATATCAGTTTTGGCTTACAAGTCGGCTTGAGCGGTTCTGTCTGCACTGACCCTATGTACTGTAGGCACGAGATGAATTGTCTCGTTAGATCTTGTAAGGTCCTGTATGGCGGACGAGTGGCCGGAGATGAGTTCCAAAGAACCATTGGAGCATTCTTTGCCATTTACTGGCTATTGCGTTGCGGTGATGCAGATGGCTTTGCAGGGCCTAGAATCGAGAACTGATAGCGACTGCCACATTGCGGCCATAAGCGTGTTGAGGTTCGAGCGTTGATGGCAAGCACGGGTTTTGTCATGGGGTCGATGACTCCTGGAGGCACGCGCTTCGCTGTTTGCACAGACCACAGACACATTTCATCGATCAACTTGTTAGAGAACTCTCATACACGGCCCTTGCCAGCTGCCCCGCTGTATCTGGCTGTGAGAGTAACTATACAGCATCCAGAGTCGGATGTGGCTAAGTTATGGGAGCGCTGGTCGGCCTTTGCAGGCCATTGCCATCACGTGAAGGTGAGAGCGACAAGTGTCGTGCTCCGCGGCCTGCGATGCTTGGGTTGGGGGGTGGTTGTGTGCGCGGGCTTCTTCCTGAAGGGGACCCCTCAAGGGCAGCAGCATGCAGCAGCAGCAACCGAAGTGTGCAAACATTCACAGTGACATACCCGGAGGCCCGGAGGAAGATGTGATCAGTCTCGGCTCAGCTGCGAAGTTTTGCAAGTGTTGGCCAGGTGCTGCAGAGCATAGATTGACGCGACATCATCGACTCTCGTGCATAAGGTTTTCTACGGCGATGAGACGATATGGAAGTACTTCCAGGACTTGATGCTCGATGCAGGCGAGAGAAGCTGTTTTTGCAGGGTTTCTCTTAAGGGTAATCGAGTCGTGGGAGGCGTTCTCGTCCAAAAGGGCTCGAAGCTGGAAGTGGACTCCGAAACGACCTTGGCCCTCCTGGTGCTGACCGCAGCGGCCTCAAGCGAAGAAGCTGTTCTTCGTCACGCTGAGGAAGCCCCAGCCTACGGTATCATAGTATCATATGATCTGAGGCCTTGCATGACGTGATGAAGGTCAGCTTGCTGCTGCCGGTGGTTCAAAAGGCCGATGCTCCATACAGAGGTGCCTTGGTCGACCTTTCGGATCTAATCTCAGCTTCGATTGCAGCGCTGTCCGAGGCTATGGCGAGTCGGAGGTCATTGCAGACCATGATCTGGAAGCTTGTCTCGAAGGAGTCAGAGGTGCCAAGAGTGGCCCATCTCCCAGTTTTTGCGACTGGTGCCCCTGGCGTAACCGAGGCAATTTTTTATCTCATCGAGCGCTATCCGCAGCTGCTGCCATCACTGAGCCGCTTTGGTGAAAAGGCGTGTGTAGCATAGTTCACGTAGATCACCTCCTGAGGCAGTTTGAAGCCCGAGCTGCAGTCCTCCGTCCAAATGGTGCTCAGCGGCCTCGCCTTCAACAACGGCCCCTTGGCACGGGCGGCACGTCACGGCACGCCACGGCACGGCCCCGACATCTCCCGGGCCGCCGGCCACGATGTGCTGCACTGCTCCGAGGCTGGTTTGTGCAAGCGGAGGCTCCACCAGGACGTCGAAAGCGCGGCTCTGCGTATAGAAAAGGGTCGCCGATTGTCTCCCTGTTGCAGGTCCACAACGTGTGACAGAGAGAAGGGTTAGGGCTCGGACAGTTCCGGCTAGGGTTATTCTAGCCTCTGCTTCTGATTTTACGGATTTTTAGGGCCCGGGCTGGCGTCGGGGGGAGGTCACAGGAGACGTGAATGCCAGTGGAGCGGAGAGAGAATTTTGGGGTCACTCCACCGTGATAATACCCAGGAGGCCCTGAATCCCGCCACCAGATACTGAAATAGCTGTGTCGGGCGGCTATGGCCATGCCGCGGGCGGGGGACCTTGTCTCATGCGTGATAAGAGAAAGAATCAGAATAGTCGCCGGACAAGTGTTTCTTGTTCTCTTTCTGGCTTTGCTGCAACATCTATTCTGCAACTCTGCAGGAGCAGTGTTGCGGGGAATCAAGGCTGCAATCACTTCGCAGAACAAGACACTCAGCAGCAACCACAATTTTTGTTGTTGCGGTTGCACGGGGAGCATTCATTCGGGGTTTGTCGGGGATGCTCTCGCAGCACCGACAGGTCTGATCGGCAAGTCAGCAAGCGAGACTTGAGCTTGTACTTTGTACATTGGCTGACGGTCTGGAGCTCGGAAACGTCGAAACGCAGCGAGGTAGAGAGGGCGAGACAGAGCCGGACACTCTTGCCAGGATCTGGCCGGCGCCGAGCCTTCGCCATTGTTTGGATGCCTAAAGCTCACCAGCCAGCTTCCTCTTCCTGTGCTGACGCTCGGCCGCTGCATGCTGCCTGACGCTACTTGCATTTGCACCGTGTGGAATGGTCTTTCAGCAGTTGGCAAGTCAGGAAGAGCTTCATGGAGTCGGTGAAGTCGCTGGCAAGCACTTTGCGAATGTGTTGTGTCACACAAGTGTCACATGCGTCGCGAGAAGTTAGTTGCTCAGGTACATTCAGCAGCTGGCGGAGCGCACCGAGACGGAGGTCATGGAAAGCTACTTGAAGGAGCCGCCACATATGCTCATGCAGGCCTTGCAGGCTTAGCTTGAACGTTTTGAATTCGATCGACCCCCTACGAAAAGCACTTGATACCCAGCTTGCACCATGACACCGCGGGCAAGAGTTCCGGCGGAATAGTTGTGAAGCATGAATGTAGTGACTCTTGAGACAGTCCAATCTCGATGACATGATGATTAACGCGGGATGCTCGACGGAAGCAGCGCCTCCTGACAGTAGCCTGAGATGTACATGGCCTTGGGTCCACAGGCTGAAAAACTGAGGGAAAGTCTGAGTTTGCTACATTTAGATGCAAAGCTCCAAGTTACACCGTTACTGCGGCATGCCGTGTCCGCAAATTCAATTGGATGCTAGCGGTGCTGGTGCCACCTGCGGAGAACACCGATTGGCAACTGTGAGTTGTAGGCCTGACCGCAAAAGCGAGTTCAGCACTTCTGGGTTTTTCAGTACGGTAGCTTGTCCTGTGAGCAGTCACTACTCGCGAAACCGAAAGACGCGGGTGAGTCGGTTGGTGCTTGCTTGCTTGCTTGCTTACTTGTTTGTGTGAGTGTGACTCCACACGTGGTACCCTGCCTCCGTGGCTTCGTTTGCTGTCCATACATGCCCAGAGTTTTATCTGATCTTGGAGGATCGCTGGAAGAATGCTCAGCCACCGGTGGGTCCGCTGCCAAGCGGGCCAGAGGCTCTTGTCAAGACGCGCTTGCTTTGCATGGTCCCGCCGGCAAGCTTCTTTAAGCCGTGTGTGGGGCGGGCGCGGGCGAGGGGGCGGGGGTGGGGAAGTGTTGCAGCATATTGCAGCATCAGCCCTCAGCTCTGACTTGAGAACATTCTGGAAGCGGGAGCACTTACTCTGCCGTGCACTATGGCAGGCCCAAGGCATGGCAACGCAAGTGTTGGAAGCCTTCGACAAGTTGAGCGACGCAGACAAAGAGGCCGCACTGCCGCACATTGACCACCATTCCATACTATAATCATCCGTGACTGGCAGCGCTGGACTTGTACTCTGAACATTGGAATCATGTTATCTAGATACCAGAGGCAGAAGCAGCAAAACTCCGCAGACCGTGGCCGACTAGTCTGACTCGTCAAACCGGAGACACCTGTGCATGGGATCGGCCTGTTCTCGTTTCGGGTTTTTACTACGAATCTCGACAAACCCAGACGCCTTGTTTGAACCGTTTTGCTTTGTAACTTTGTGGCACTTTGTGGCACATCCCTAAACGATCAGCACAGGTCCTCAGCGTGGAAATGTCCCGGACTGGTGCACGTCTCAGAGCTTCAGTCGCAGTGTCGCGACTGGCTTCCGAAGTGGCCTTGCAGCAGGGAGAGCTTCAGCATTACTTGTGCACGCGATGAGGTACGGAGAACCAGAGCTTCTCAGAGGGATTTGTTCCATCCAGCGCGCCTCGGCCGCACCCCAGCCGAAGCATGACCACCCTATGCAAGCCGTTCCCATAGGCAGGAACGTGTTTATTAACTTTGTGTGCGTGTGCCCGTTTTCAACGACATCACTCGCCAACAATGAGGTGAGGGCGCGTTTGGCGGGACCAGCATTCCTGGTTTACTATGGCCCAGCATTCTTGCAGAGGCACCTGATGACAGCATGCATTGCTCGACCATGCGCTGTGCAAAGGGGGATGCAGATGGATACAGTATGGCTCAGTATGGCCTGGATGGACAGAGTTGACTGGAGCAAGCCGCAAGCCGAAGCTTCTCTGCTGTGTGCGGCGCAGAGCTGTGCTGTACTTAGCACACATGGTGGTGTTGCTGTGCAAGCGCCTATAAACACGTTCATGTATGTTTGTTTGCCTGCGCACATGTATGTCAGTTTGCGTGGTAGATCGGTCGGTAGCGAGCTCCAATCAAGCCTGTGTAAAAAGGTCGGTAGGTAGGTAGGTAGGTAGGTAGGTAGGTAGGTAGGTAGGTAGGTAGGTAGGCAGGTAGGTAGGTAGGTAGGTAGGTAGGTAGGTAGTAGGTATAGGTAGGCAGCCAGGGAGGTCGGTAGGTAGGTAGGTAGGTAGGTGGGTAGGTAGGAAGGTAGGCAGGTGGGTGGGTAGGTAGGTAGGTAGTCAGTATTTAGGCAGGTAGGTAGGTAGGTAGGTAGGTAGGTAGGTAGGTAAGTACGCAGGGAGGTAGGTGGGGGGCTGGGTAGGTAGCTATGTAGCTATATACTGTATTGTATTGTATTGTATTGTGTTGTATTGTATTGTATTGTATTGTATTGTATTGTATGGTATTGTATGGTATGTATGTATGTATGTATGTATGTATTTACGTATGTATGTATGTGTATGATACATGCGCATGTATGCCTGTAGGCCTGTGCCTGCCTGCTTGCTTGCCTGCCTGCCTGCCTGCCAGTCTGTCTGTCTGTCTGTCTGTCTTCGCATACGTAGACAGGTCTTCGCATGCTTAGGTGTGCCTGGATGTGTATGTGCGTGCGTGTGTGTGTGTGTGCGCGTGTGTGTGTGTGTGTGTTTGTGTTTGTGTGTGCGCTTACAGACGCCACATGCGTTGCTTGATGAAGCCGCTATTCCAGGCCATTGTTGGACATTTAAATGTGTATAAGTATAGAGATATTATATAGAGCCAAGTGGGTATTTGTGTTGGTGTATGAGTCTGTCCTTCGGTTCCTCTGTCTGCGTGTCGCTGGCAGACCGTTTCTCTATCGGTCTGTTTGTCTGAACGGGATGGTATTTGTGCGACATAGTATAGTTTAATCCCAAGTCTTATAGAGTCTGCGGCTCTCTGCATAGCTCGAAAGATCATGGTAGCTCATTCGGGACAGGTCTTGACAGTCTGACACTGTGAAGATGTGGCTGCCACATTGTGGCATAAACTCAGACCATGGCCACTTTCATGATGTGAGAACAAACAGAGCGTGTCGGTCTTGTTTGCATATCTTCCAATCGCGCTTGGACAGGATGCACAATGACAGCCCGCTGAGACGTCTCGAGATTTTGGCAGAAATCTATCGCCGTGCTCGCAAACTTTGGCCTGCTACTGGGCCTAGACATGACCTTGAGTGCAAAGAAAACTGTGAGCATGCTTGTGCATACCTGAGGCTGCCAATGATCAAGCGGGAAGTTTCGTTACGCTGCGGATCGATGCCATCACCATCCAGGTCTCAAGAGCTCAGAGCTCTACGTGTCATCTTTTGCTGATAAGTGCAGTTTGTCCGACTGCAAAACCAGCAAAGATAGCAAAGCAAAAATCAGCTTCCTGTTCGTGCAACCTTGTCCATGTGCAGCCAGTCCTTGTAGGAAAGATGGCGTCGAGCGCCATCCTTCCCTATAGAGCCCCTGGTTCGAAATCGCGGCCACAGCCCGCGACAATTACCCAAATCGATTCTTTGGATCTTGCTAGCCTAAAGCCAGTCCTTAGGCTGTACACCCGGTCGACCAGTCATCCGATACTGTGGAAAAGAAAAGAAGCATTCCACATGCACAGGGCAAGTGGAGCTCTTCGGATCCTGAGCTTTTGTTGTTGAGGTGCCTCGGCTCATTGCATGTGACACATGCTAGCAACGTATCGCATTGGGTCCCTTGGTTTCAGCGCGAGTTGGGATTTCATGGTCACAGAAGTTGTGTGGCCAAGAAGAGTGACAAACATGAAAGATCGGATCGCCTCTGGGCATCCTCTCTTCAAAAGTGCTGCACCGCTAGGCTACGAAGTTCTCAACCGCTGCCTCCCCCTGCCTTTGTGTTGGCGAATTGCTTAAACAGGCATGCGTAGAACAGGGGGCATGTTCTCGATTGATAGGCTGCGTGAGTTAGAGGCGTACAGGTGCAGTGTTTAGGACTTGTTTGAAGGTCGAGGATTCTGATGGGCATGAATACGTGTCTGGACCCTCATGCTGGACTCCACGGAACAAGAAGGGTCATCGAAATGGTGCGTTGCAAAAGCCGAGGATGTGCAGCAACAAGCAGGCAGTCATTGAAAGGAAGCCTGAGGCAGACCCAAAGACGACCAATGTCAAAGAGGACGGCAGTCACATGATGTTTTCTGGCATTGAAGTCAGGTTCCCTGTTCTCTGACTGTGTACCCTGCAATGCGGGCTTCGTCCTAGCTAGGTGGGAGGCAAAAATTGTGCAAAGTTTGCCTTCGCAGGAGAACACCGAAATCTTGTTTGCACCGGAGATGCAAAACGGACCTGCTGGTGTGGACATTTGCTCCCAAGAGGACCTGCAACCTTCTGCAGCCTTTGCTTCCGAAGCTACGAGCTGACCGATCGGAGCATTGCAGGAGATGATTCGGCGGGTGAGCAACGAGATCTTGAACTCTGGGCACTTCGGCGGCATGTCGAGCAAAACCGGGAACAGCAGGCACGGCTTCGAACGACTCGCATTCCTGGCAGGGCCACAATCATCTGTTTCCGGTGAGCTCAAGACTTTTGTTTGGATGCTCCCTCGAAGTGATACAATGAGTCAGATGCTCATGCAGGCATGATCAGTCCATGCCGCAGGTCATTCCAGGTACCTGCAGTCGCATATACGCAACCCACCCCCGGCCTTCATTTCGCATCCATGCTTTGTGGTACTGTCTCTCTCATGTCATCATGGTCCCTGATCCTGGCGCATGCTCATTGAACTGCCCACGGGGCCCAGATGTGATGAAACTCGATTCTTGCGCTCTTCACTCAGCACTGAATGGACACAGGCGGTGCAGAAAATTGTTCATTCCCATTGCTCCCGAAAGACACGTACGCGGTCGTGCACCCTACGACATGTGGCGACTGCGCTCTCTTGTCTCGCGCCCAACAACAGTGCAGGTGCGGCGGGCCTTAGCCAAGTTCATTTTTGAAGCCTAGCAACATGTGAGCTGGTTTCTCGATTTACAGATGTTGCTTACCAGCATGGTTGCCTCCATTCCGAAAGGTTTGTAGGAGAAGGATCCCCCAGAGAAAGCTTCCAACCCGAGCTTCCTCCTGCTGCTCTACATACCCGTGGACTGATTATGAGTCAAAGACACAGCTGCTTTTTGTGGACCCAGGCGTTGGTACCGTAAAGTGGCTTTTGCTTTCCTGCGCCGTGCTCAAGCAGGCTGGGGTGGAGCAGTCTTAGAGGCCTGTGTTGGAATGTCTTTTTGTAGCACTGCTTGAAGGAGAGATCATTACCACAGTCGTGGATGGCAAAGAGGAAACCGTAAACACTGCAGTCGATGGCGACTACGTTGTGTGCCTCGGCTGTCGCAACTATCACTGACGTCATCTTCGGTGTCCTTTATTCTTGATGGGGTGCTGCAGCTAGGGATTTATCATCAACTTTGTGTGCACAGCACCAGCATGACTCGGATGTGCTTGATAAGGCAAGCCAACACTCGGTGGAAGGAAAACTATATCCTTTCCTATGCGACTACATCGGCCGCTTATGAGCCATGGATCAATGTTCATGCTCAGTCCGAGGAAGAGCTCTCGAATAGTGAAGTCGCGACGGCGCCCGCTGATCGCTGCATGTTCTTCTTCCTTCCTAAGGATTTGGCGACTCCCTTGGAAATCCCTCATGGCCGAGAGGATGCGCACCAGCTGCGCAAGGACGGATACCGATGCTACAGGCCAGAGCCGAGACTGTGCTCTCCTTCGCGTGAGCTGCTGTGAGCTCTGAGCTCCGAGGTCTCGCACCCGCATTCGTGCGCTGCGTGCCACGGATGAGTTTCTCCAGAGGCCTGGCCTCAAGGGCACGAGTGCGAAAGCCCGCAAATTGCGGCTGTGCGGGCGGGGCAATCGAAGCTTTTCATGCCAAGGCATTGTCCTTCAAAGAAGTTTATGGCCAAGTGGGGCTCGCCGTGCTCGGTGCTGGACTAAGTGAAGAGAAGAGAGAGACCGTGAGAAACCTTTGCAGCTTCCGGTGTCCTCCGGTGTCTGGGGGCATCGTAGGCCCCGTAGGCTGAAAGCCCGGCCCCTCGCTTCTGGGGGCAGAAAGGTGGAAGTCGATGACATCATAGCAGCACAAGTCAGCGCAGACTCCGAAGTAACGGAGATCTACAGGACCGTGCGCGAGTCTCGCATGCTAGTATACTGTATACTTGATGAACAGCCTGTGCAGGCAGTTCCGTTTCGACCTTCATGCCATGCAACCAATCGCAGTGTGCGGCTGGCCTGACAGGATCGAGAAGACCGTTTTCCGAGAAACTTTCATCCCGGAGCAGAAGTGAACTCGGATTACGACTCTGACTCTGACAGCATGACCATCCGGAGCATCTCGAGATGGGAAGGTTGTCATGTAGAGTGGTTTGTATTTCTGCCCTCATTCTGCAAGGAAGGGCGAATTGCCTGCAACCGCAAGCCGCAAGCCAGTATTTAGGACTCACATGTTCGGCTCGTGTTAGCTGGCCCGCAAAACCCCCCATACATGCTGCGTGGAACATATAGCAGACTTTCCGGTATTGACTGCTTTGTCAGACACGAGCATTTTCCATTGTGAGGCTACTCAGGACCTTTTGGCTAAAGGGTGCACTAAAGTGCCACCCTGGAATTGGTCTTGATTCTTTCGTGGGTCGTGTCACCCTTCAAGCTCCACAATGCAGACCTGCATACTGCGCAATCGTGTGCACGATGGAGGTCGTTTTCTAATTTTGACGTTTAGTACGCGGAACCGTCATGACAAATGTGGACTGACAGACTGAGTAGCTTGCTTGCAAAGGTTGCATGCCTCTGTCTGCGAGTTGTGACGTGCCGTGCAGAGGCGCTTTGTGTAGCCACTCTGGCTTAGGTGTCCGAGACACATGGGTCACATGCTTGGCGAGTAGAGCCCAGGGGCCCCTGATGCTGTGCTGCTGCACAGCAGATGACAAGGCTCCCCCAGGCCTGGAATTTGAGGAAAGGCTGCCAGCGAGGCCCTTCATTCAAACAGCTCCAGCTTTCAGACCAGACTCGATACCCGATGTCTTCTTGGTTTCCGTGTCAACCGAAAGCAGGCCCCTGGGTATTGTCTTGGACGTGACCAATCCGGAGTGTGCTGTTGTCAAGGACATCGGCGAAGGACGTGTTCGGGACTGGAACCAGGAATGCTCCGAAGACAAAACCGTGATGCTTCTGGACCGGGTGCTGGAAGTGAACGGAGTTCGTGGATCAAGCATAGAGCTAGCGAAAGCTCTTGGAAATCCAGATACGCAGGAGTTCTCACTTACAATGCAGCGACCGGAGGAGAGAAAAGTATCACTACAGCGGCCAGGGGAAATCGGCCTCATCATCAACTACAAGCGAGTTGGCGCTGTTGCCCCATGGATTTCTAAGATAACTCCCGGCCTTGTAAGCCAATGGAACGAGAGCAAGCCGGATCAGGCCGTGCACGTTCATGACCGCATCATCGCAGTCAACGGTGAAGCGGGCACCACCGAAGAGTTGTTGGCAAGAATTCGGGCGAACAACCAAGAGCTGCTTGAGCTCACCGTGCTGCACTATGCCGTTTGAGCCGGGGACATCACGCTTTCGGAAGGTATTCGAATTGTTTTGGAGATGGCAGCAGGCCAGTGACCGCGAAGCGCATTGGCCTTTTTCCACAAGCCTCGAGCCTCCTTGAACCTCCTTACTTCGCGGACATTCTGCAAGTAGTTTCACCTGAAAAAGGTTCAACCGTGCGCTGCTGAAGTCTGCTAGAGCCAGAATTGCATCCTCTGTATCAGACTGCCTCTTGCCCTCTCAGGTCGGTCTGTCGACCTCTTCGAGTGCTCAGGCCCAAGGCAGGGTGCAGGAAGGGCGAATGCAGGGCCAAGGGCTGGAGGGCCTCTTTGAAGGGTTCTGCCCAACGGTTCTGTCTTTTGGCTGCAGCCATGATGTCAGTCCAGCTCGATACAACGCGCACATGGCTCCTTCCCAGTGGCTTGCTGACAGCATCTCTTCAGTGGATAACTTCTGCTGGCAGCAGAAGCTGCTTGCAACACCCACGCAGTACTCCATCCCGACAAGCATCTGGGAGCAAGTCAATCTCCCGTCTCGTGCCAATTGCACAGATTCCAACACCCTGGGTTCTTGGTAAACCCCGCTTAAGTTGGTGCAATGTGCGAGGGAGAGTAGGGGAGTCGGGGAGTAGGGCTTCAGTGCATGATGCCAAACCTAAGCAAGTGTTCTTGGTGAAGCATAGAATGCATAGAATGCCTTCTCAGGCAAGTGGAACCATTACGAGCCGCTTCGCAGAAAATGGAAAACTGAGGAAAAGAATGACTTTGCCGTCCTAATCCCAGGAGACGCCCGTACCTACAACTATTCGACAGAGCTGCTCTACTTGGAGATGTACGCATCTTCTCTCTACTGCATCACAAAGAAAAAGGGTGGCTGGGACTGCTTGCGGCATTACGAAATATTGTTGGCAGGCTGTGTGCCTTACTTGTTTGACATCGCCAAGGTGCCCAGCCGCAGCATGGTGCATTTTCCGCATGGCCTCGTGCACAGGCTCATGAAACTTCCAGGGGTGCCGGGCGAAGACTTCCTGGCCAGCAGGCTCGGCAAGCTCGGCCAGAGTACCAACACGAATGTTCTGATCGATCGAGCAGTATTTCCAGTGAGCGAGTACGAAAGATTACGAGCAGCCATGCTCTCGTATGTCGAGAGCGACATGCTGTGCAAGAACCGAGCATCCGAACTTCACGCCCTGCCTCGAGTCTTCATACACTCATATGCGACCAAGGAGAAACCTGTAGACTACTTGAGAGAGCTGCTCGTGGTTGGGCTCATGGAAAATGGCCATCAAGTGTACACCACATTCAATGCGAGCTATGTTTTTCAAGATTTTGACGTGTCCGGATTAGACGCCCCATGGGGTTTGGGGTCATATGGTAGAGGTTTTTTGTATGAGCGTTCTTTGCCTCCGTCATACAGAAGCCGTTTTAATATCTGGGTTCCCGGAGATTCACCTCCAGACGAGCCGTTCTCGTACATCAAAACCACGTACAACAACAAGCCTTACCCAATCGAAACGTTTTTCGACAAGGCGGTCGACATAGTCGTAGATGGGAACGACATCTGGGGTGCACACCCCGAGCCTGTGTCAGCGACGTGGTACCGCCGCGAACTTTCTGACTGTCACCACTTGATCAAACCAGCTCGGGCACTGCTTGGCACCTTGAACTCAGGCTGGACGTGACGCGCAAAAGCAAAGACGGTCACTGAAAATCAGCACTGGCTAAGCCCTGTCCCGCAGGTGCACTCTGGAACTGTGAAGTATCGCCTCAAAGTCGCTTGTGTCCGAACCTTCATGATGCCGCTCGTGTTTGGCAATATGGTCTGCAGATGACGGCAGAAGTGGAAATGCAAACCCAAGGTTGGAGGACCTCTGCTTGATGTGTGTAGACGGTGCAGAATCACATGCTCTTGGTTGGTGAGTGGCAAGTTCTTGCACATGAGACCCTGTTGACTGAAAAGCAAAATGCAGACTTTCGCAGCCAAGAGCGGTTTTCCACACTTCAAGATAACGTTTTTGCCGTGGGACACACAGTGGGTTCCGCAAATATCAAAGGTAGATCCAACGATAGATGCGGCCGGCCAGTGAAGTGTGACGACATAGCAAGTCATTGAAGAGCTTCCGCAGCTTGTTGTTGCAGGAGCCCGAGCGGTGCTGAGTTTCTGCTTGACATTGAAGACTACTTACGCACGCCTCAACACTTTCCCGATTTTGTGGAGAAGTTCATGATCTTGGCCACGAACGCTCGGCAGTTCATGGAATGGTGCCGCCAGCTTGCGGAAACGGCAGAACCGGCCTTGGGTGGCGATCCGAACCTGTCGCTGAGGCTGAGGCTCGCGGAGCTGTGAAGCGCCAAGGCCGCGATGCAGGGCAACAACGCCGAGAGGCAGCCAGCCGGTACAAAAACGGTTTCATCCACGCAGGAAGTCGAAGGTCTTCCGGACTCATGCAGGCGATTCTGGAACACGGCAGCATCTCTCTCTGCCGGCATGCACAAATGCATACGTACGACACAAGGATGCACAATTATACAGGTTTGTGCCGAAGCATGATGACTTTCTTTGACAGCAAGCAACTGCATAAAGCCGTCGTGCCGGGGTACTGCAGGGAGACAAGTACATCTGCATCCTTATCTGTCAAGAGTTGTCCAGATGTCTTGATGTCTGGCCACTACACCCGGCCGATCCCAGAAGAGGACCCTGGCTCGACGCAAGCAAGCCTAGGGACCCCAACTCACAAACTGTTGGTTGTTCGCGGGCAGACATAGAGGATCTGGAAGGAGGAGCCGCCAAGCGCACATCTGCGAGATGACGGAGCCGTTCTCCAGTCCTGCAGCCTGCCAATCTACGCATGTCTGCTGGACGAAGAGTCAACTTAACCCGTGAGCTGAGTGATTCGAAAGCATAGGCCCGGCCTCTCTGTCTCGATTGGTGTTTGGCTGTCTGGCGAGAGTGCGAAAAGATGCGAAAAGCAGATGACCTGAAACTTGGAGTCAGTTCGTAGTTAGGCGTTTCGCTGTAACTTGCACCATCACTTGCAAGGCTCACAGCCGCCCGTGGAAAGGCAGGGCACGAGATTTTTGCGTGTTGGGAAGGGGGCTGCGGTGGAAGTTTTGACGACTAGTTTGTTTGACTAGCGGACCAGGACACAGAGAAAGACTTGCGAGCAACCGACCAGACGCAAAGTTCATATGGCTGAAAGACCTGACAGGTGCTCACGTAGTAGTAGTAGTAGTAGTAGTAGTAGTAGTAGTCGTAGTAGTAGTAGTAGTAGTAGCAGCAGCAGTAGTAGTAGTAGTAGTAGTCTCGGCAGAGTCCTCGGTCCTGCGCTCAGTGGGGTGCTGGCAT